TGTCAGAGGGAAGACTGCTGGCGAAGATTCAGTGCCAGCCTGGGCAGAGGCTTTCCCGGTGGAGCGCTGCAGTGGCTCAGGCCCTCAACAGCTTCCAGTCCTGCGCTGAGAAGACGCAGTGCTCAAGAAGCTCTTATTGAGCGCGTGAGCGTCTCAGGGACGAAAGGCACTCGCAGAGTAGCATGCTCAGACCAACACATTCCACGGACATGCCGCCTGTGCATACAGGAGTGCGGACTGTGCTTGCACAGGGTCACCTCCGCAGTTATTCCGCGGTAGGGTGGCGTGACATGCGTGACACGCGGGACATGTGGAGCTATGGCCGGTCTCATGGGAGCTGCCAAGCAGGGAGGGCGGAGGCCATCTTATTTGGGAGCCATGTGGAGCGAGCCGAGGGTTTGGGATCGAATACCGCAAAGCGCGGTGGATAGCCTAAAGCCCCAGGCGCATTCTTTTGTGTCTCACACTACTGCGCCGCCATAGCTCTGCACGGCCGATCACCCGCCTGGCACAGGAACCTGCGGCGAAACAGGGCAAGGACGAGAATCAGGTCTCGCTTTGGACCGACTCCCTCCTTTACACGACGTTTTCATCTGGCAAATCACCACGGTACAGACCCTCGTTTCGCAGATAGGCTTGTACGTATGGGAAGGCAAGGAGGCAACCAATGGCAATGGGGCCAGTCCAGTGGAAAGGCCGGCAAGCACGTTCGCTACTGGGCCGGATCCTGGTCGGCCTCGCCCTCTTGGCAGCATGCCAAACGGTACAAGGACAAAGAGGTCCCTCTCTTCCCCAAGTACAACGAGATGTCATTGCAGAATCCACAGCATGGTTCCACGAAGGTGACCGGGTCAGATGCAGATGGCTTGGACGTGGGCGACGACGTCCGGGACATCCAAAGATATGTTACCATGCTCAGGAAAGCGGAAGCCAAAATCCGCAAGCAGGCAGAGCTCAAAGCAAAGCGTACGGAGCAGTGGGGGGTTTTCCAGCAGGAGCTGAAGCGCGCCTTCCTGTCACAGCAGAAGGAGTATCAGGACGAGATGGTCAAGTTGGACCAGGAGCTGCAGGAGGCCCAAGAACAGAAGGCTGTAGCTGCTCGGCAGCTCAAGGAGTACATCAACGGCGGTTCGAGGCCTCAGCCTGTTGCCAGCATCTCTGCAGAGCAGCAGGCGTCTTGGGAGCAGCTCTTGAATGGTGGCCAGCCAGTGACAAAGGAGGACTCCATGCTGGACACCTGGGTTCAGCAAGCGGCTCTTGGGCAGCCGCTCCCGGAGCATGCTCAGGTGCAACTCGCAGCATGGCTGGACCGTCATGCGCCGCCGCCGCCCTTGATGACTCCACCGCATACGAGGTCCACCCAGCAGATGATGACTCCGAGGCAGGACTTGCGTGCGGCACCTCCACCGCAGCGGCCCCCAGTAGTGGAGGCGTTGCGGCCCTCTGTGGGGGAGGCCCAGCCCTGCGCCTATGTGAGCCCCGACAGTGGCCCTGCCACTTTGGATCCATACATGATGTCGCCGTCTGGGCCCAACATTACTATGTTTGGTGGGCCCGCACCGAGTACCGAGGCCCTGTCGCAACCTCCTGGCGCGGGGCGTTCAGCAAACAGAGCCTCGACGTCAGTCCGTGCTACCAGAAGGGCCAGTCCGGGGCAAGCCTTGAAGCCCTTTCGCAGTTCAGTCAAGGCTGCCACGAAAATGGCCTCCCCAACAGTACGCCCAGATGCTTCTCAGGCATTGGCTGCGAGGCTCGAGGAGCGCCGCAAGCGCATGACTGCGGAGATCAATGTTCCTGTCGGTGTGCCGGTGTGCTTCCTGGACGACGACTCGGACCTGGAAGAGACCAGAGAAGCGGGGGGATCTCTAGATCTTGGTGGTGGCGAGGCAGTCGCCAGCAACATCAGCTTGGGACAGATGGAGTAGTACGACTGGGTGCTTCAATCCCGCGCGCAGGCTGCTCATTCCTTGCGAGTCGCTCTCATGCTTGTGGTATGTCATCTGAGTGCCTCATTTTGCTGAGTGAGCAGGTCAGCCCTAATCTTTATTGTAGGTTTGCACATAGCACCCTCTCTGGCTCCTCTTTCTCATTGCTGGCTTTTCCCTTGTTGTATCCTCCCTGTCGTTCGGCTATATTGCAGCTCGCCTTTGGCTGGAGCACTGACCTCTCTTTCGGCATGCCTCCCTGGCTCATCCGTCTTCAGTTGTCGGGCTTCTCCTTTGGCTGTTTGCAGTTGCCTGAGATATCGCCTTGTCGGTCCTGCCTAGGGGCTCCGGGCACCTTCGGTTCATCCTTGTCGCTTGTCTGTCTTTTCGCTTGCAGTGCTTCCGCCTGCCCTCATCTCTTCTGTCTCGTTGAGGCTCCTTCGGTCCCTCTTTTGCAGCTCGCCGTTGGCTGGAGCATTGGCCTTGGCCGAAGGAGTCTTCCTCCCGGACACGCTGGCGGTTGTGCTGCTTCGTTCCACTCTGTTGTCTCTGGCGGTGTTAGGTACCCCGCGCCCTGCTTGAGGTCTGTTGTGCACAAGACGCATAAGGTCCCAGGCGGTCTGACGCGGCCCCTCGCTGAGACACTGCTCTTTCTTTGCTTGCGCCGGGGCGCCCTTTTCGACTGCCATGCCTCGGCTCGGGCTCCCTCCCGGCTGTTGCTGCGTTCAATCTCCTTAGATCTTGTGTCGTGCCGCCGCCCCTTCTTGGAGGTTTCGCAAGTAAAGTTGCTGGGTATTGGCGTTTCTGATTCTGGCTCTCTGTCGCAGCTCGCCGCTGGCTGGAGCATTGACCTGGTCCCCGAAGCAGTGCCATGTATCGATGTTCCCTCCGGAGAAGAGTTTGCAACAGGATATGGACTTGTTCCTCTCCCTTGGTTGGTTGCCTCACTTCACTGGGCCTTGTGGCTTCGGCTCAGCGTTGTCCTTTTGTCCCTCTCTAGCGCTGCCAAGGGCCTTGGCCTGTCTCTGCTTGCGATTCACCTTGTGGCTCTCTTTGGAGCATTTGCGCATGTTTGGCTCTCCGCACGATGTCGTTCACAAAAGTCCTTGTGGGGACCCGTTTGTCGCCCATCACTCTTGCGCGGGTATAATGCTTTCCTTGTTGGGCGACATATGCAACTGGGCCCTGAGCTGTCACGGGGAAGACGGCAAGGCGCTCGCTGGCTTGTCTCTCCTCTCAAATGGTTCCTTGGACTGGCGCCATTTTGGTTGCGACCGTGCCACATTACGCCGTCTTTCACTGCTTACCTCCGGCCGCATTGGGACATACCGGTGTACGTCCGCGCGCAGCTTGGCCTTGAACCTCTCCGCATCATCGTCCTTGCTTCGCCGGATGACTTTGCTCAGACACTTACGCGCGGTAATGCTGGAGGAGTGCAGCCGCGCTCCCGCAGCCACGCTCCGCTCGGGAGCCTGGCCAGACTTGTAGACGACCCACATACTGCCAGCCCTCAAGGCGATCGCGCAGGCACGTGGCCTCATGGAGGTTTTCTCGCTCTACGGCCCTCGCTGGGGCCGACCTCGAAGTTGCCCACCTCTGCCTCCTCTTGTCCTACTGTGTTGGGACGCTTTGTGGGAGCTGCGCTTTCCTTTGCGGATATGTGGATTTCACGTGTGACCATGCCTTTGCACACTGGCCTGAGGCTTTCCCTCATGCGTGGCCGTGGGGGTTTGTTTGGCGCTTTGCTCTCGTTGGAGCTGACCCCGTGGGCTCTCGCCTCTGTGGTGCCTTCCTCATTCCCTGTCGCTGGGCAGATGCTGTCTGCCCCAGGTGTCCCAGGCTCAGGTCCGCGCCAGGTAGGTTCCTCATTCCCTGTCGCTGGGCAGATGCTGTCTGCCCCACATGTCCCAGGCCCAGGTCCGCGTCAGGTAGGTTCGCAGCTGCCTTCCTCATTCCCTGTCGCTGGACAGCATCCAGGCTCAGGTCCACACCAGGCAGGTTCGCAGGTGCCTTCCTCATTCCCTGTCGCTGGGCAGATGCTGTCTGCCCCAGGTGTCCCAGGCTCAGGTCCTCGCCAGGCAGGTTCGCAGGTGCCTTCCGCTGGGCAGACCAGGCTCAGGCTCAGGTCCACGCCAGGCAGGTTCGCAGGTGCCTTCCTCATTCTCTGTCGCAGGGCAGACGCTGTCTGTCCCAGGTTCGCAGGTGCCTTCCTCGTTCCCTGTCGCAGGGCAGATGCCTGTCCCAGGTGTCCCAGGCCCAGGTCCGCGTCAGGTAGGTTCGCAGCTGCCTTCCTCATTCCCTGTCGCTGGGCAGATGCTGTCTGCCCCAGGTGTCCCAGGCTCAGGTCCACACCAGGCAGGTTCGCAGGTGCCTTCCTCATTCCCTGTCGCTGGGCAGATGCTGTCTGCCCCAGGTGTCCCAGGCTCAGGTCCACACCAAGCAAGGCAGGTTCGCAGGTGCTTTCCGCTGGGCAGATGCTGTCTGTCCCAGGTGTCCCAGGCTCAGCTCCGCGCCAGATAGGTTCGCAGGTACCTTCCTCATTCCCTGTCGCTGGGCAGATGATGTCTGCCCCAGGTGTCCCAGGCTCAGGTCCACACCAGGCAGGTTCGCAGGTGCCTTCCTCATTCCCTGTCGCAGGGCAGACGCTGTCTGTTGCAGGTGTCCCAGGCTCAGATCCGCGCCAGGCAGGTTCGCAGGTGCCTTCCTCATTCCCTGTTTTCCTTGTCCCAGGTGTGCCAGGCGCAGGTCCACACCAAGGCAGGTCCGAGACGCCCTTGTTCCCTGTCGCAGGGCAGACTACATCTGCTCCAGGCGTCCTAGGTTCAGGCCAGGCAGGTTTGCAGCTTCGTTTGGGGGGACGTGGGGCGCATGCCTTGCGCATTCTGCTAATCCTTGCTCTCATGCCTGGTGTGCTGGCTTCACCTAGCTCTACTGCTTGTACCCCAGCCCCTAGCTACCCTAGTGTTGGGTTTAGGTCCCTCCCCCTTTCGGGTTTGCATTCAATTCCGCGTAGGGTGCCGACGCCCTGCCGGGCATTTCTGCACAGCTCGGTCCCTTTGTCTCGATGTTCCGCTGATGGCTTGGGATCTTCCCGAGCATGGGATATTGGACCCACTCTTCTCGAAGAAGCTTTTGCCGCTTCGGATTGCCGAGCTTTTTTCCTTACGGTTACGCTTCTTGAAACCCTCACTGAGCACTTTGAGGAACAAGCTCGCCTCCAGCCTTCCAGCCCTCTTCCGCGTGTGCAACCAGCGGCCTTGTTAGGGTCTCTTCCCCCAGATGTCGTTGACAGGGATTCTTCTTTCGGCTCCGCTGCTTCCCCGCGATTGGCCGCCTCTCTGTCCGTCCATGATGTTCGATCCTCCGGTTCGAGCGCGACTCCTCCGGCCCATGAGGGGCGTCAATGTGTGCTACCATGTGGGGCCGCTGATGTCGATTCGTTGCTTCGGTCTGTCCCTTTCTGTGCTTTGCGACCGCCTCCTACTCATGTCCAGAAGCCCGAACGATTCTTGCAGTGGGTTGCTGAGGGCTGTGCCGGCCGATCTCCCACTCCTGGGGAGATCTTGGTCCTCACTTCTGACGGTTCTTTCAATGCGGTTGAATCTAGGGCTGGTTGGGCGGTTGTGTTAAGCCTCGTTTCGGCCGACACGCTTCGACTGCCGGGCCAGTTTATAGGCTGCTTTTACGGCTCCGTTAGTGACTTCCTGCCGGCCCTTCTGGACGAAGAGGCAAGTTTCGATGCATACTTGGCGGAGATCTCTGGCCTGTTGTGGGCCGCTGTTGCTGCGCTTCAGCTGCCGCACAATGCCTCGGTTCTGTTTCGGGCTGACAATTGGGCCGCTCTGCAAGGGGTTGCGGGCAATGTCAGTCTCAAGGATCACACTCTTTGCACCGGGGCCAGAAACCTGCATATCGCTCACCAGACTGTACGCGGTGCGCAGGCCCTCTACCAACACGTTCCTGGGCATGCTGGCGATTGCGCCAATGAGCTTGCGGACGGATTGGCGGAGCTTGGTTCTCGAGGCCGTTCCGAAGCGCTGCCTTTTCATTTCAATGCCTGCTTCTGGCTTTCCGACCGTGGCCTTGCCATTCGATGGTTGCCTCATCTTTGTCTTACACGTGAAAGGCCGGCGGAAGTTCCTAGCCTGCGGAATAACATGCTTTCCTGGTCTAAGGACACAGGGGTGTGCTCGATGGATTCGGAGTCGGTCCTCCGGCCTTTTCTGCGTGCCGTGCCTGCCGTAGATAGCTGTGCCCGAGCTCCCGCTCATCGACATTTCTCTCTCTGTATTGCCACATTTAATGTCCTGTCCCTTCTTGATCCCTTGCCCGTCAGGGAGTCTTCCTCGGGGCTGCACGGCATTATAGGCAGGGTCAATCTCTTGCGAGCTAGTCTTGAGGCTAAAGGGGTGCACATCGCTGGTCTCCAGGAATGTCGCACGCCAGAAGGGGTCATGCGCTGCGGCCCGTTTCTACGACTGGCTTCGGGCTGTGAGGAAGGGTCGCGATTTGGTGTCGAGTTGTGGCTACATGATGCCTCTCCTATTCTGGCCAGCAGCGCGGTTGTCCTGCACGCCGAGCCCACTCTTCTTGTTGTCAGTGCCTATTTTCATTGCAGCCGACTGAACATACTTGTGGCTCATGCGCCGCATCGTGCCCACACTGAGGAACATCGTCAGGCTTGGTGGGCTCGGGTTTGTGCTGTCTGTGGTGCTCACTCCAGAGGAGCTAATTGGATTTGTCTGATTGACGGCAACTGCCGGATTGGCAGCGTCCCGGATGCCCATGTTGGCCCTTGGCAGGCTGACGAGGAGGATTTCTCTGGGTCCCTCTTTCGAGACCTGTTGCGCTCCTTGAATGTATGGGTGCCGTCCACGTTCCGCGGATGTATGGAGGGGCCGGGTGGCACATTGCTTCAAAAACGTAACGGTGCGCTCGTTCGCTCTGATTACATCTGCCTGCCTCTGACGTGGCAGTCTGCCTTTTGCTCGGTTTGTGTTGCTCCTGAGCTCTCGGCTGGCCACGTTTGTGAGGACCACTATGCATCTGTTGCGCAGGTTCAACTTTCCTTCACAGGTAAGCCGTCTAAGCAAGTGCGGCCTGTGCGCATTGATGCGAGTGCCATTTCTAATCCCGACAATGCCCCGGCTGTTCAGGCTATTTTAAGTTCTGCGCCGCGACCTGGCTGGGAGGTTGATGTGAGTGAGCATGCTGCCTTGCTTGTTGACCATGTCTACACTGGACTGTCTCAATGCTTCCCTGTGCCGCGACGTCGTCTTCGAGGTCAGCATTTTTCGGAGCGCGCGCAGCAGCTACACGCCACCGTCGCCAGGCTTCGACATTCCTTGAGGTCCAGGCGGGCCGCCTTGCGATGTGCCTATCTCCGCTGTGTGCTCCTGGCTTGGGCCCAGGCGTCGCTCGACTTCACATCTCTTTTCTCCGGACACTGGCTCTGGCTCCTGCGCGCTCGTATCGGCCTTGACTGTCTTTTGCTCCATCGCAATGGCTCGCTCCTTAAGCGGCAGTGCAAGGATGATAGGAATGCCTACTTTGACACCCTCGCGGCCGGGATCGATGCGGCCCCTGCTGGCGAGGTCCATCGCGCTGTTCGTAAGGTCCTTGCGCCAAAGCGATTTAGGCGTTCTTCGGCCGACCCGCTTCCCATGTTGCGGCGGGCTGATGGCACTCTTTGTACCAGCATGGATGAGGTCACTGCCACTTGGCGTGAGCATTTCAGTGCTTTGGAGGACGGATGCCCCACTTCCGAGGACTCCTTAGTTGCTTCTTGCAGGTTGCGCCAAGCGTGCTTCGAAGGTTCTGATTCTGTTGATTCTGGGACGGTGCCGACTTGGGATGCCTTTGAGTCTGCTCTCCGACACACGAAGCCTGGCAAAGCATGCGGTCCGGACCTCCTTCCTCCGGCATTGTGCAGGGTTTTCGGTTCCCAGCTTGCTCAGACTTTCTGGCCCCTTATGCTCAAGGTCGTCTGTCATGCGGCTGAACCTGTTGGTCTTAAGGGGGGTCTCCTGCACCATATCGCCAAGCCCAACATCGCTCTCAGACACACCTGCGCTGGCAGGCGTGGCATTCTGGTTCAGTCTTGCCTGTCCAAAGCGCTGCATCGCACTGTTCGTGCGCTTGCGGTCAAGCATTGGGACACTCATGCTCTACCCTTGCAAATAGGGGGCCGCCGTGGATGTAGTGCCGCTATTGGGCACTTCTGCTCCAGAGCCTTCCTTCACTTTGCAAGGAGAACAAGCCGTTCTTCAGCCATTCTCTTTGTAGACCTCGCCTCGGCATACTATGCTGTTGTGCGTGAGACGGTGCTGGGCGAAGGACTGGGACACAGGTCAATTGAGGACATTGCGGCTTCTCTTGGCCTTAGTCGCGAGAATCTTCAACAACTACAGCACTACATTTCTTCTGAGCCGGTCTTGGAGCAGCAAGACGCCTCCCCGCTTTTCCTTGAGCTCGCGAGGGAGCTCCATGCCAGTACCTGGTTCATCCTACATGGGGACACGCAGCTTGTTGAAACTCACAGGGGGACCCGCCCTGGAGGCTCCCTTGCAGACATTGTGTTCAATATCCTCTTCGCGAAAGTTCTGCAGCGGAGACTTTCGCCGGCTATGGAGGTTTCCCTGCCCAAGGTTCCTTGGCATGGTCAGCGCACGCCTTTTCCGGACCCGGACTGCCCCGTGCAAGACCATGTTGTTCGAGACGTCGTATACGCTGATGACCTTGCTACCTTCGTGGTCAGTCCTTCGGCACAAAGGCTTCCGCGCTTGCTTGCTGACGTCGCAGCCACGACCCTTGATACACTTGCTCCTCATGGCCTTCGGGCGAATCTAGGGCCCACCAAAACGGCCGCCATTGTCGCCCCCGCTGGAGCAGGAGCGCGGGCCGCTCGCAAACACCTTTTTGTGGACATGCGTGGACATATGCCTGTTTGGCCTGAGAACGCTGGGCTTGCACGGCTTGATCTGGTCACGCGCTATAGGCACCTGGGTTCCTATCTCACGCATAATGGCAGCCTGCTTCCTGACATCCGGTATCGCCTGGCGCTTGGGAGGGCTGCCTTCCGCGAGGGGAAGCGGAAACTTTTTGCCTGTCAGCAGATTGCTTTAGGTCGCCGTGCCCAGCTTTTCCGTGTTCATGTCCTGGGGGTTGTCCTTGCTGGCACTGGGGCCTGGCCTCAACTCAATGCCCAGGAATGGAGCGCCTTCTCAGGTGGTTTGATCGGGCTAAACAGGAGGCTCCTTGGACCGTCTGCAACTGGCACATGGCATATGACAGAGGCCCAGATCCTCGCGTGGACGGGGTTGCCTGCGCCTAGGGCACTTCTGCATGTTGAGAGGCTGCGCTTCTTGGGCCAGCTGGTGCGAAGCGGTCCTGCCGCAGCTTGGGCTCTCATCGGTTGGTACGGGCCTTATGTTAGCGCCTTGGAGGACGCTGGTTGTTGGTTGCTCTCCGCCCTTCGGGGCACCTGCCCTCTTGGACCTCTGTCGGAGTCGTGGCCCGCGTGGCAGGAGCTGCTCCGAGATCGCCCCGGCCAGTGGAAGGGGCTGCTCAAGCGTGCCGAGGCTTGGCACGTGCAGGCACAAGGGCTTCAGGCATCGCTGGACACCTTCGCTCGCGCGGCATGGTCGCCGGCTGTGGATGTCCCAGACCCGAGCCTTGCGGCGCTTCGGGCCTGCTCTCACGCCTGTCTTGTGTGTGGCTTAGCATTTCGCTCTTTGCAAGCTTGGGGATCTCATGCGCACCGCAAGCATGGGTATCATTGTCGCGCTCACCTTCTTGCGGTTGGGCGTCGGTGCCAAGCCTGTGGCCTCACCCTTGCCAACACTTCTCGGTTACGCAGGCACCTGGATTCGTCGGCTGCTTGTCGACAGCTCCTCGCTACTCCTGGGGCTTCCCCACTTTTTCCGCCTGATCACTCGGAGGGACACCCGCAGGAGCCCGCCGTTCGTGATGCGACTCGTCCTGTCCGTGTCGCTGCCCAGCATGAATGTTCCCCGGAGCTTCTTGCAGCGCTAGCAGCTCTTAAGCCAAGCACAGATATGGACGTGTACGAGACGGTCGTTCGCTTTATCTCCCCCCTGCCCGTCCTGCGTGACACTTTGCAGGTTTGGTTGTCGGAGGTCTCTGATTTAGCGATTGCCGAGATGGGGGAAAATGTCCTTTTGGTCTTGCACCCGGAGCACATTTGTTCGGCAGTGGCGGGCAAGCCTCAGGAGTCGAATGACCAGCATGTCTTCTTGCCCCTTCTGCGGACTCCACTTGCTGGACCGACTGACCACTCCTTGCCTGTCGTTTGGGTTGGGCACATCTGTCCACGTTGGGTTCAGACCTGGCAACTTGGCGCGCTGCCGCCTGTGCCTTGCGGACTTGAGGACGTGATTGCCGGTGCATTCCCGCAGGCCGCGGGTTTCTGTATTGCCCTGCCCTCTTTGCCCTCACCAGTTTCGGTCTTCTTCCGTCCCGATGCCATGCCCCTTAAGTGTTTGCGGGCACTTTGCGCATGGCTCGATCGTGCGCTTAAAGCACTTCTGGTCGTCCTGCGCCAAGCCCAGTCGGGCGTTCCGGCTCTTGTGCGTTTCCCTATCTCCGCTGAGTCTTTGCAACCCCTGTCTGGCTGGCTGCTCAGCCTTGCGGAGCTTGATGCCGGTTCGCTTCGGCCTTCTTGTTTCACCGTCGAATTCACTCCGTAGCATGAGGCACGTCGTTCTGACTTTCCGCCTGCCCGAAAGAAAGGAGCGAGCCGCCTGCTTTCCTGGTTAGCAGCAGATCATCTAAAAAATCTGGGATCTAACAGGCCTGTTAGATCCCGCGACAGAGGAGGCTGCATGAGGCTGCTTTGCAACTGAGAACCTTCAAACAGCTCTGAGCTTCATCAGGCCCCTCCCTCTACCCCACTTGCTCCGAGCCCTTGGCTGAGATGCAATGGAGCCTAAAGCTCTCTGAGCTCTGATCTCAGGACAATCCCAGAGGCGCGCAATATCTACTTTCGGATTGCGCTGCTCAACTTCGCTGTGCAGTCGGCTGTACGTATCCCTCATCTGTTATAAAGGTGTGGTGGGATAATGCTCTAGGCAGTTTGCAACGTGTTGAGAAAATGCCCTGGACATTCTCTTTGACGGAAAACAAGCACGGGCATTTTAATGGCATCGTGTCATGACGCCTGATTCAGACCTGCTTCCAGCAAGGCCAAGGCATGGAAGTGCCTATGGAAAGTGCCTGAATGAACATGCATCCGGAGGCCCCGGCATTTTCACGACAATGGGGGATCTGCAAGGATCTGTAGTGTAAGCATTCGGTCGCACGGCTGCTCTTGTGCTACGGCGTGCTGAGATACCTACAAGCAAGCTTGGTCTTCAGGATTTGTGGCACGAGGTCACTGGGCCCCACTAGGCCCAGGCTCATGCACTCAAGGCCCGTCATGGCACTGAGCACTCTGAGCACTTCGGGCATAGGGCCCATGTTCCTCGTTCAGGATCTCCTGAAGAGTGCTCTTGATGGCTCTTGATGCTTCTTGGGGCTAAGGACAAAAGTCCTGAAACCTCGAGGCGGCCTGGAAACAATGGCCTTTCATCAACCATGAGGATAGCGGCAAAGGGTGCGGAAGGTGAACCCTGAAATTTAGTGAAGGTTTTGTGGAGACAAGGCCAGACTTGGGGGGGAATGCTCGTGCGTAACATCTCCTTTTGAAACTTGCTTTCGGTGCCCTAACCCCTGATTCGGCTCGGCTTCCTGCCGAGAAGCGCTTGGAACAAGCAGACACGGATCCGGCCTCCTTCCCCCTAACCCAACCCTTCCCCCATACCAAAATTTTGCGGCCCTGTGGGACCCCCCCCCATCGCTTGGAGGAGCTGCAAACCGATGACGTGGGGTCCCGCCTGTTGGCGGCTTTAGAGGGGGCACTCCCGAATTTGGCTGTTGGGATGTTTTGGATCCCCCCATGAAACCCCCTGGACCCTTCCTGGGAGCCCTCCCCTTTTTTTGAAACCTTTCCCAGAAAGCCTGCCGGCCCGGCTGCCGAGGCGGCGCACGCAAGCGTTTAGAATTCGCCTGTGCCAGGACAGCTCATGCAAGCATATCTAAAGCCTACAGGCAAAAAAAACTACAACCCCCATCAGCCCTGTAAGCCCTAAGTTGCTCTGCGTCTACGGTTGAGGCATCTCGGAAGGCCTACACACCATCCCCACCAGCATAGTGTATAATCGTTTATAGTAGTCAATAGTAGTCAATAGTAGTCTATACTAGGCTCATAGGAATAGCAGCTTGGTGCCCTGTCCTCCGAGAAAAGAGCTCCCGGCTCGCAGTGAGGGGGGAGGCTACAACGGATTCTGTCCTGAGCCTTTTGAGCGCCGGAGAAAATTAAAGACGGCAGCGCCGCAGCGATACAGAAACCCGACAATAGTTGGTTGGTCTGCCGAGAACCTAAGGCAAGAAAAAGAACATGTGGTTGCGGCGGCATGAAAGTATCTATAGCTTCTTCGCGACTGGTGAGATGTGCACGCTGGTATTTCCGGAACACGTAGACAGACGTGCCATGCTATCTCCATGCTTCAGGGCATTCATCCAGGTCATCGTATCTCGAAATCTTGTGACATCCCTTGTAGTGCGACATTGCCCATGGTGTATTATCAAGATAGAAACTGGAATGCTTGCGTAGAGTGTTATGGCTCATGATGGCTCTTCACAGTCTGTTTCAAGACATAGCTGCGCACCTTGCACTTTAACACAGCCCAGGACAGTCATAGATAATCAAGACGAACCCAGCAATGCTCAACAAGTGGGCCTGCCAAGCCTCAAGATTCTTCCTGTTCAAGACTGCTCTCTAAGGGGCTCTGCGAAAACGAGTATCCCAAATACGCAGCACAGCTTTCTATAGCCAAATAAATGCTCAACGTACCCTGACTGTGACGATCAGGCAAGGCTCTGGAATCCACGGAATCTTGTCTTGTGGAGGTTTTCCACTGCAGGTACAGGACAATGTTCTTCAGGCTTGTGGGGTTCCCTTTCGTGCCATAGCCTAATAATCTGGCTGGACGTTCGCTATCCCCAATTCTCGCGCGTTCGGGTTGCCGGAACTCTTGTACAACTGGCCAGCCTAAAGCTTTACAAAGTTTATGAAGGGTCTACGTTGCGCTTGTAAAGAACGTGCATGGAATCGCATCAATATTCGTGGAAAGAAGACATCCCTGATGCCCGTTTTTAGAAGTGCAGCGCGAAACCCCTACCCACCCGCCAGACCTCGGCGCACATTGGGACTATTGCTACTGGGGTTTCAGGTATTCGGGTTTTTACTCAGGATATGAGGACTTAGGGCTTCAAATTTTGATGTTTGGGGTTTCTAAAACTCTCCGAAGCCTTAGCTCAACCTTTGCTCGAAAAACATGGCTCTCGCTACCCCAGACATCTCCAAGCAATTGCAGCAAAAGCAGGTGCTGAGTCATGACTCTTCCCTTCATCTCCTCTGGTGAAGGCTTGGAAGTCCAAAAAGGCTTAGGGTCTTGGGGCTTACAAGGGTTTAAAAACGAGTTCTTGGATCCGTGCCCCCATGAGCCTGTGAGTCCTTTGTGCCAAATTCTTGTGTCTACGTTAGTTCATTGACGTGGGATCGGGGCAATGTCGTGCTTGCAAAAGTCCACGTGGGAAAGTTCGACATAAACAAGCTCAACGGTTTCAATCCATCCTCCCCTCCCCCCTTCTCCCCTTTCTGTGACGTGAGTTGTAGACCTCAACGCCAGAGCCTGCACACCGGAAGTGTTCTCAACTCCGAACGATTCATCCAACTCGAGTTGCAGAGAGCGAAACGACGAACCCTACTCGGAAATCCGGGCTCGCGCTGAGGTTGCTCTGCCGCGCACATGTCATGTGCTCTTCTCCTTGGATCCCATGGGCGCCCGGAAGGATCGGGAGGGTGCATTAGCAGTCATTAGCTCATTAGCAGGTTCTGCGGTCTTTGGGACCGTGGGAACCCCGTGAAGTAAGGAGTAGAGGCTCCGGCGAAGCCCGGAGAGGCCTCCGAGCATGCTGGTGCTGATGTTTCATGTGCCCAAACGATGCCTCTGTCAACTCGGGGCACCCTTGCCTCTGCAAAGTCTCTTGGAACAGGAGCCGTGGCCGAGCTGCGACACCAGAACAATGTAAAGGCTTCTTTTGCTTTGGGACGCCCTCTGCAGCTCCTGCACCCTCAGGGAGCGCCGTGTGTGGCACGGAGTCGCAGGGAGCGAAGGGCATGGCAGTGACGGCAGTGGCGGCAGTGAGCACAGCAATCGCTCAACAGCGTGCCGTCTGACACGTCTGACACCTCTACGGCGCATCTGACACCTCTACCAAGCAGAGACTCTGAATGCACCGGAGCTGTTTTGTCTATGTGGTGGCGAAAAGAAGGCGGTGAAGCACACAGTGTGTCACAGAGGCACTCCGAGAGGAACTCCGAGTGGCACTCAGGGAGCTCGGCTAGAAGAAGTTGAGATGCAGCTGCAGTGCAAGTGGCACAGGGGACAGGTTCGGCACACAAGACAATTACGAAGTACATGATGGTGTGCTAGCGGTGACTGGAGCTTGAGTTGTGGCCTGCACAACCCAACGGCGTAAGCGTCTTAAGCTGTGGCAAGCCGCAAAATTGCACGGCGCACGCCGGCCCGGGATGGGCGGCCGAGAACACTCGCTGTGAAGTCGGCGGGCAGTCGCAGCTCAAGCCCACTTCGCTGCCCCTGCTATTCCCTACTTTTCTACTTGAAGGAGTTCACTTAAAGGGGTTTGGAAGTACAGCTCTAATTGGGACACTGTGGCCCAAAATGTTTCTCCTCACTGCCCATGCGTGACAGGCTTTCGATCGACAAGCCGGGCACAAACGCCATCTACAATCCTGTCACCCAGCAGACCAAAGACCCCGTATTTGGCCGGCGGTGCCGTCCACATGCACGAGTCTGCAAGCCACAATGTGGTCGGCAAAGACAAAGATGGCCAGAGTGGGCTCACGCAGCCGCAGGCACAGGAGGCGCAGGCATTGCATCCTTGGGAGTTGCCCGAGCAGGTCTTCTCCGAGATCTTGCACTGCTTCGGGCCTGCTGGCCCGGAGCAGAACGAGAGCTGCTTTGCCCGCTTTGCCGTGCTGGATTTGACCCCTGGAAGTGGTCAATTGTGTGCTGCAGCAACGAGGGCAGGACACAGGTATTTTGGTTTGACGAACTCGCTGCTCCACAGCGCAGTGGTCGCCGAGACAGTCGCTTGAGCTGCATGTTCTTGTTTTTGAGACTGGGGGAGAGAACAGACTTCGTAATAAGCTGGCCTCATTGGCGATGTCACCAGGTGGTCCTGGCCCAAATGATGGACATTTGCCAACGCAAGAGCGGCTCCCCAGGCAGGAAGTCAGGAAGCTCCGGCGCCAACCGTCCCAGCTCTCGAATGGCACCGCCGACTTGGAGGCTGCGCAGGCTGCGCAGGCTTCTGCGCGGAGCCATCGGAGCCATGCCGCAAGTTCCGCAAGTTCCGCAAGTTCCCAGGCCAGCACCACAAAGAAAGCGGCGTCAGGTGGCGGCAGTGATGCCCCGAGGATCTCCAAGCATTGCTTCGTCTGGCTCCAAGATGGCCCAAGCGGCCACAGCTCGCACAGCTCGCACAGCTCCAGCCCCTCGAGCCCACGGGCTGACTTGAGGGCCATCGAGCTCTGAAAAGCCTAAAACCCCAGTCAGCCTTCTAAAACCGATGCCGCGGCGCGACTTGAAAGGCTTGTGCTGCTCCGGCCCGAAACGCAAATGTGCACCTCGCGGTGAATGTAAAGCTCGGACCTCAGAAGATCCAGCACCGAAGCTGGAGCAAAGAAGAACAAAGAAGCTCGGAATCTGCACATGTGTCTGGGAGAATGCTTGCAACGTCTAGGACTCCGAAGTCTTTCTTAACGCGCGCCCTGCCTATTAGCTCTACTCTCTATAGCGGGCTTTTGGAACCGAGCTGACATCCCGAGCAAAGAAAAGCCTGGAGGCCCAGTCGTGAACTCATTTCCACGCACGCAAAGAGCTCAGTTCGGATAGATGCTCGCGTGGTTGGGGGCCCATAGGCCTGCGGGTGAAGAGTGGGCTTAGGGCGCCCCTGTAACCTGAGACCAAGGGCTGTCCTCTGCACTCAGCTTTGTCACACGGAGTGCCTTTGGGCTAACTTTGGGCTGTTTGGGCTTGGGCTTTTTATGGGGTTTTGTATGGGCATTATACGGTTTTGCCCACTGCAGACTGCAGTTTGGCTCGGGAACTTTGCAGAGCGGACCTACTGAATGAAGCCAACCGAAGACGCTCCGGGCGTCTGTGGGGCACTGCGTGCATCTGGCTGAAAGAAGTGGAAGGCAGGATCCCCAAGAAGCGAGGGCCACGAAGAGCCTCAGAGCCCAAAGGATTTCAGAAAATGATGTGAAACCCCTCAACTTTAAGCCTCTTCCTGCCCGCGTGAGCATCTGAGCATCTCGCCGGCGTTCAAGACTAAACGTCGCCCCGTACGCATGGACCTCGCTGCTGTCGCCTTGCGCACGCTGGCGGTGGGACGGCACGCATGCTGAGAGACTCCACGTGCTGCTACAGTGGTGTCACGGGACCCAAGATGTGTATCAAGTCCCTTGTGACGGCAGAAACTGTGCGCCCGCACAACTCCGAACGGTCGCTGCAGATCTCATGTAAGCAGCTGCAACGACTTGGCTGTGTCGAGGTGCATGGTGGCCTCTTGGGAAAACATGGGCGAAGTCGCAAGAAAGCCGCAGTTCTCAAAAACATCCTGCTTGAACGCTAAAAATTCAAGGGCTTTCGGGTGGCGAGCGCTTGCAAAGACGTGGGGGTGCCGGCTGTGGCGCATCGCCCTGGCTGATGTCAGCATGGGGCCTCGGGCCAGGAGCTCAGAGACTTCTGGCGTGGAGTGCCTGTTGGAGCGCATGTGGCGCTTTGGGGCGCTGGGCCCTCCTGGTGCCAGTTTTTGTTTTGGGGCTTTTGCGGCAAAGGCGCCACTTGCTCGATGAAGTCAAGTGATGGATTCCAGAAACGGCGCACTTAGCTGGAGGCACCACGTGCGTGCGCCAAGACAGGGATTTTCCCGTTCGACTGCAGCAGGATGCTGTGCAGGCTGGCAGTCAGATGCTCATGAGGGATGGGGTGCTGAGATTACAGAACAACGAAGCTGCTGCGAAAGATGCACGTCTCCCAGCCATGCAAGTCTTCAGTGCTGTCAACTAAGAAGGGGCGCGGTTGGAGCCGCATTGCGGCATACAAAAATGGCAAACGCGCCCATGATGCCCGTCCTTTGGGTGTGGAACCCACCTGTTGCAGGACTGCCATCGGCGGGGTCCGATGCCAAGACGGCTGGCCATTTAGCATTCTAGGCAAGACGGTGCCCGCTCATCCACAGTGGGGAGCGTGAATGCAGGATGATACCACGGGAGGTGCATGTGTCAAATGTGCTTGAGGATCCAAAAGCATGAAAAACGCAAGAGACAACGGGTCTTCCTACACTCAAGACCACGTACCCTGAGCGGCACCCGGCTCCTGCTGTCGGTACATGGTACGTGCCTGCGGCAACTACCGGGGCCTGCATAAAGGGCCTGCCTGCAAGTCCAAAACCGTTCGGCGCGGCCGTGCACTCAATTCAGATGTTGCAAGGGAAAAAAGCCAGCGAAATGCCGGACATGGCTGCGCTGCTCGGGCTTCGCTGTCGAAATGCATTTTTTTTGGGAAGCAAGTATCAGCATCTGCTAGAGTTCTCAAAGCTGCAACAGTATGCAGTTTGACAAGCTGAGGAAACGGACAATTTCGGAGGGATGCTGAATTCCGGCCTCAGACACGGACGCCGCAAAGCAGCGGGCTACGACGGCTAAGACGAGGACTGGCATGTCATTCAGCGATGCGGAACGTTGTGTTTGGCCTGCCTAGGCTCCTACTGCCCTCGATCGCAAAACAGAAATGCTCAACTCTTCAATATCCAATAGGAAAAAGCTTGGGGAAGGTGCAGGATGTCAAGGATGTCAGGCGTCTACCTGCTTCTTCCTACATCCCTAGAGTCCTGAGATGGACTCCAGCATGCAAGGCCTTGCGCGCAAGCGTGCGGAGGTCATGTGCAAGAGCTCAAGAGCTCAGAAAGGGCTTTTGACGGCACTGTCAAAATTTCGCAGAGGCACATGGGCAGGAGACTTCTCGAGAGCAACTGCAGGAGAGCTGTGTGCAACTCTGGGGCCAAGAGCCTGCGCGCGAGCCGGTGAGCCGAGCCCGCACGTGCGTTCGTGCATCAGCTGAGCACGCGGCAGAGTGCCGAAAGCACCGAAGCAGGGCAAGATCAAGATCGGGACAGGCAGCTGCCCTCATTTCTCTCACCCGTTTCTCTGCCACAGACTGCCTCGGGCCTTTGCAACAACTGCAGCACAGGGATTCCCAGATCTGGGAAGGCAAAGTGTTACAGAGACCTTGCTGAAGCGGCCATCTGCTGCCGACACATCAAGCTAGGCTTTCAGACACGTGCGGCAAGACTGGCGAGAGCGAGCTGGCTAAATGCAGCTGGGTATGTCGGGCACGCATGAGAGAACAGCTGAGGGCCACAGTTACCCCCAGGTGACGGGTCAAATGATCGCCAGGAAGAGGACACCTGCAGCTGACTAGAGCCGATGGCGCCAATCACTCACGGAAGTGCCGAAGATGCTAGCCCTGACTTGGCCTGAGCTCCCTGAACTCCTTCCCCAAGTCTTCCACCGCTACGTAGCTGCCTCTCACCCCTTCCTTCAAAAAGAGAAGCAAGTCTCGATGGAAGCACTTGCGCAAACATGTGCAAGACACTGCAGGCCCTACGCTGCTGGAAGAGATCGCAACTAGGCATGCCCGCTGCTTCAAAGGCCACTTCAGCACTTCATCAACCCTAAATTCCCTAAACTCCCTAAAATGGCCCTAAAACCCAGCAGCCTGAGTTGCTTGGCCAAGGCCGACCGCTGGAGAAGTCCATCTCTCGACCTTCGGCGCTTAAGCGCTTGCTTTGGAGCTGAGATGTTGGGGTGGAGACGGGGAGGGTCTCACAACCTGCTCACTGCAACTCACTTGCTGTAGCCATCCAGTCTTGCGTTTTCTCTGTTTCTTACCCACTCTCACTCTCTCTCTCTCTCTCTTTCTCCAGATGTCGCTCTCCCATTCCCTCAAAAGCACACCTGGGAGGTCTGCTATTGCGATCGAGCTGAAGCTACTAGCAGCTGCGAGCCAAACTCTGCAAGCGGACAAGTGGTTTGGCTTGGCGCTTGCGGATCTGCCATCTCCAGATGGCATACTCACGGCATGCGGCACTTCTTCCAACCACGGCGCTTGACGCTTCAAGGCTCTCACCGGCGCGCTCGGACTCCGGCCTCAGAGGGTCACGCGAGGCTCGGTGCAAGGCGACGGCTTCGGGGACGTACCATGTAGAAACACTGCGGTGGCCGGAAAACCTAGATAAGACGCTGAGATGAGCTTGCGCAATTCCGCACAACAACAAACTTTTTCTCCATTTACGGACCACCTTGCAGTGAATGTCGGCCAACCGCGTTTTGCAAAACAACCCCCCTCCTCCCCCGCCCTCGCCCCCTACCTCCCTTGACTCAACCCTTCAGAAAGTGAGCCCCGAACCCTCAACCCTAAACCCTGACAGCAGCTGCTGAGCCTGGCCTTCACATTAAGAGTCGAGAACGCGCTCTCACACGTTGAGGCACCGCTGGTTTGCGCGATTCTCTCCAGGGTCTGGGGATTCTGGGTTGACGTTGGGTCCGCTGGGGTGAGGGTGTCAGTATTCATCGCCAGTTCATTCCGGCAGCCAATAGACTCCTTCAGAAACAGGATCAGTTCACCGATGCTAGCTCCGGTGCCTCCGGCAGGCCCTCAGGCGATTTACACATGTCACGGGAGCCATACTTGTCGCTTTTAGGAATTGGCCAGAAGCTTCCACAACGAGTCTTGTACGCCAGCGCCGCCGCAGTTTGATCATTTTGCAACCTTCGCGCGCCACTCACATTCGCGACTCACATAAACACACAACACATTTTTCTCCTGTTCGTGTGAACGTTTAAGTGTTTCCCAGTGGAAAACCCACTCCAACAGGCCCCTGTATGTTTAGCATTTTTGCCTCTTCGAGCGCGAAGTCTCTCTTAAATCTGCGGCTGCAGCCAAGCACTGTTTGCCGGCTCGGAGGCTTAGTCGGTTCTTACACCAGAACCTGATCCAGGCTTGAGGACGCGTTCCGCACAACACCTTTCAGTGGAGAACCCTCCAGGAGTGCGACGAGGTTGTCGCTCACCCAGGTCGCGCTGTTTGACCAGAATCTGGCGTCTCTCATGGCAACGCCAGGGAGCACAAGGACATTCTTGAGCTCAGCAATGTGCGGCTGCACGTAGGCCTGGGCTTCGCTACCATAGGGCGGACCGCAGAATGCGTCAGGGAAGTGCCAGCAACCCTGTGGCCACACGTCGAGAACTGCGCCGATCGGCCTTGTGAGCAGTGCTTGGTACAGTGCATCGAAGTCCACGGGCTGGGCGGAGACGGGAATGAGCACAGCCCCGGGCTTCATCAATGCCAAGGATGTCTTGTTTATCAAACCCACCACGGAACCTGGAACCGTCACAGCAATGAAGTCGCTTTCTGCCAGAAGTCTATCAATGTCGCTGATGAGCCACGAAGAGAAGGGGCCGTGCCGTCGTGTGGCCAGGACCTTCATGCCCAACCCAAAAGCGCGCCTGCCCACCGCTTCGCCAATGTTGCCGTAGCCCACGATACCCATGGTCTGGCTCATCAACGTCGGATGCGCAGTCAACTCACTGTCTGGCGGACATTTTCCAGGCGCCCCGCTGCCGAAGCCGCACGCAGCGAACTGTGAGGACTTCTGTGGCAGCCTGTAAGTCCAGTGAAAGGCCGCGGCAATAACGAACTCGGCGATGCTCTCGACACCGTAGACATGCCACGGGGCATCGTACTTCGCCACGATTGTGCCCGCCGGCACGGCGGCGAGGCGTGGGTACATGTAGGTCGTGCTTTGGATGAGCTTCAGGTTCGGGAAGTCCTCAAAGGGACGTGTGGCTCGGCCCTGCGCCGCTCTTGCCTGTCCTTTTCACTAGTTAATTCTGACATGACAGATAAGATGATATGACTTCAACAGACAGATTGAAGCAGGTGGGGGGGGGGCAGGGGGGGAGGGAGAGGGGGAGCGCTTTTGACAGAGTCTCCTGGAGGCTGGTGAAGTTTCTGGGCATGCCCACCACAGCGACCACATCCCTCTTCTCTTTGGGATTTTGGGAGTTTTGGGAGTTTTGGGAGTTTTGTGAGGGAAAGGGCTCGAAGTCCACGAAGGCGCTTGCTTGGCTGCTGGCCAGGTCTGACAGGTAGGAGGCCGAAGACTCGTACACCACCTTTGGCCCACGGGGTGCATCTCTGCTCTCTGCTTTCTGCTTTCCGTTCGCACATCTGCGTCCCCTTCTGTTTCAGCAAAAACAAACATCTCTCTCTCTCTCTCCCGAGGCGGATGCAAAGGCCCATGGGGTGACCGGCTGAACTTGAAATGGAAAGGTCCTCAAAAACATGTCTGGAAAGGGCTGCTCTGTGCTGCCCCGCCACCGCGATGGGCTTGGAGCTGGACAGCGCGGGCCCCAGGAGCAGGTAAATCACGGACGCGTAAGGCGACATGGCCGAGAGGAGTACGCGGTCTGCAGAGAGAGCACTCAGCTCCAGTCCAGAGTGTCACGGCGGCGATTGTGTCTTACCATCACTTCACAGGCAGACGTAGGCGTACTATCCCAGCATAGGGAATATACCCCCCAACACAAAAAAAACAGAGCCCGGGCCCTTATTGGTGGAACCCTGAACTTTTGGGGAAACTTCAACTGGGCCCCCCCGCGTTCCCAACGCTCAAAATATGCCGCATCGGCCAAGCTTCGCCGAGACCTGAGCAGCTGGTTGCACGACCTCTTTGTTTGCTTTACATGGGGATTCCCGAAATTAGGGCCCTATTCGTAAACCCCCACATAAACGAATAAGGCGACTCGGACCGACGACCAGGATTCTGATGAAAAAGCAGAGAAAAGCCAAAGGCGAAGAAGAATCGTTGCAATCATGCTAATTAATGGGCGAAACCAGGGCTAGACCTTCTAGATGTTGCAGTAACCCTCGATAGGGGGCGGAGATCCCAAGTGCTCAGCTTTGTAGGCCTCCGCACTTTAAAAAAACATCGATTCAGAAGCCCTTAACTGTGTCAGATGTTTGCAGCTCAACGACAACAGGCAGAAGTCGTTTTGTCAGCGGCGTGGGGACCTAGATTCCAGGATTCCAGCTATTTTGGTTGCTTTGCCAGTGCTTGGCACTTGGCAATACTGCCGGACGGGTGCTGAACGCTGTCGCCAACGAGCAGGGGTTAACCTTCCGACAGAGAGGAAAAGCGATGAAGAGCTACAGTGCAGCTACGCACAGGACTAGAGGGCTTCGGACATGTTTGTCGCAAAGCCCGTGGCGTTGAAAACTTGGTGTGTGTTTCGGCGCTTGAATTTCACGCTCTCTCTGTCAAACGCTTCGGGGGGTCTCTTCCCGGGGAGACGGTGGCAGCAGCTCCTCTTCAGCATCTGCAGCTTCGGGCCTTTGTGGCAGCCGCATGCTGCCCAGCCGTGGGCCCACCACGCAGGGCAGTGGCGGCGAGTCGAGCTCGGCGAAAGGCCGGGCCTCGAGCATTCTCAGGTGCCTCGAGAAGTCCTCGTAGAGGGGGCGCCCCTTTCCCATACCGCTTGTTGCAAGTTATAAACAGAGCCCAACCCCCTGAAGCCACCACTTGAAGGGACACCCCAAAACGCTTTGAGAGGCTTCTTCGCTTTTTTGGGCTCGACAAAGCCGCCCAAAATTCGGGCCACTAGCTTAGGGGGAGTCGGAGGTCGCCCTTCTCAACAGAGCTGGCTCCTCCTGTAGGCTGGTCACCAAAGACTGCACTGAGCGGGCTGCCAGAAGCGGTGCCACCACGTCGCCCTTGTTGACCTCCCCCCGCAGCTTCAGCAGGCCCTGAACGAGCTCCTGGATGTGGAGCGTGCCTTGCGCGCGAAGGGTGCTTCAAAAAAAGACCTCCCGGGCTACCTCCAGAGCACCTTCAAGAGCACCAGGAAACATCCTCCAAACCCGAAGTAAACCCTGGACCCATGTGTGCCCCAGGTGTCCCCAAGGTGTTCTTTGAGGTGGACCCCCCCTCCCCCCCTCCCCCGGTCCCAGTTGACAGCCCAAGGGGCCACTGCCATCAGAGTCAATGACCTCGAAGAGCTGCGCCCGGTTGGGCGGGAGGTCAAGCTCGTCCATCAGGGCCTTTTGCAACAATACCAGAATTTAGGGTTTGGGGCTTTTGGGGGGTGTTTAGCGTACTTAGGTGAAGTTCAGGCCTGTGCAGGCTGATGGGGTTTCAGGGGGAGCTAATGGCTGTTGTTTGTTGGGGTCCTGTTCTCTGTTTGTGTGTGTGTGTGTGTGTGTGCACTCCTATTTCACCAAGGACTCGACGTGTGAGCATGGGGGATTGGCTTGAGAATGCTCGCGCAAGTTTCTGCAACCAACATTTAAATAAGGAACCACACCTACGCCCACCAATAAAAGCAACATAAACGCTATGCCATTCGGGTTCAGTTTTGGGCAGTTGATGGCTCAAAGATGGCGCCTGTGAATACTGTATGTGAAGACATTGCAAACAACAACTTCGTGATGCACAATGTATTAAAAAATCCTACCCGACAACTTCCTCGAACAAGGTTGCGAACCGTGTCAGTTCGGCTGAGGAAATACTCTGAGTCAAAGGGCCTGTCGCATCGGTCCTTTGGACTCCCAATGACTGCTTCGAGGACTGCTGCGATGTTTTCTTCTGCTGCTTACCCAATCGAAACTTCTGAGACTCAAGGGGTGCGCACCTGTGAGCTTCTCTCTTGCGCTTGTGTGCCTGTTGGGGGGGGGGTTCAGGTTTTTCGACTCCCATCGCCTGCACGGCAGGATCCTGAATGACGAGGAAAAAGAGCTCCTTGGTGATCGCCACGTCGTCGTGAATCTCATCATCGGTAAAGAGAACCGCCGAATCAGTGATCGTCAGTCGCGTGAGGTCAGCTACGTGGTCCTCCATGACGTGAAAGACCTGAGAGTTGTGCTTTATAAGGCCCTTGACAAACCTATGAATAGGTTCGCTAAAATAAGGGAAGCTAAGGGAAGTCTTATTCTCCCAAAGCAGAGCCCAGAGGCATGATAGGCAGCAGCAAACTTCTTCAGCAGCTCTCGGGTGGCGCGAGCAATTCGGATGGACTCCCGGTTGTACTGCTCAGCAGTGACCGCGTCGTTCTCTTTGGCGGCCTTCATCGTGATGTCCACGTACACGGCCAGAATCACCTTGGGGAGTGAAAGAAGAAAAGAAGAAGTCGCCAGATGCTCATGTTTTAGTGTGTTTTTGTGTCTGCTGTTATCGCACCCGGCAGAGTTAGGCTGCCCGTCCAACCTTCCCCCGGAAACGGGGCAACAGCCAAGCCTAAGCCGTGCCTCAAGCAACGAATTTGAGCCGACACGGAGTGCAAACGGCTTCAGGCATCAAGGGAACAGCCAGTGACGAAGAAAGGTACCAAAGGAAACAAAGAAACATGAGCACCGCTATGGATGCCACCAAAGGCCGGGAAACCAAAGGGTCTTGAAAGGTTTCATTCTTAGGGGAGCTCTCAGGGTGTTCATGTGCCAAGCAGAGGGGCATTGAAGATCCCCATGGCCACCAGCATGTAGCTGGCCACGTACCCCATCACAAAACTGACCCCGAACTCTTCGGCCAGGACCAGCATGATCGGCTCCCCGGTCATCGTGTTGCAATCCCCGATGAAGCAGCGAAAGGCCGTAAACATGGACACCGGGATGTTGTAGAAGAGCTCAGACATGCCCAAGTCTTCCATTCGGTGGTCCTTGCCTATGGTAAAGGAGGCGAAGCCTGCGATGAGGTACAAGACTGCGAAGAGGAGGCAGAAGGCTAAGGCCAGGGTCCAGATGCCCGCGACGAGGCCTCGGACCATGAGCCGCAAGTCCGACATGATCCTGAGCCGGAAGACGCGCACGACCCGGGCCAGCCTCACGAGGCGAAAGCAGCGCAGCATCAGGGTCCCTGCGATGTCGGGGGGGTCGGTGGCGGCCAGCTGCCAGGTCACGTCCGCGATGCCGATGGAGGTCACGACGGTGTCGAACCTCAGAGAGAGAACAGCTGCAGAAAAGAGAGGGCCCCAAAAAGAAAAAGAGCAGCCGAAGCAACAAAAAGCAACAGTAGTTGGGCAAAGAATGAGAACCTGCGATCCCGAGGAGCCAATTCCATGTTTTCTCGACCCCGCACCAGTAGTCGCGGCAGCCGAGAATCATCAGGCGGGTCAGATTTTCGAGCGCGAGCAGGGCCCTTGGCTTCAATGCTTCGGGCTCGGGTGTTCGGGCCTTTAGGACTGAGGTTTTGCCGGCTCAGGGGAGCTGTGTGCTCTGCAGTAACCGAACCACAAGAGTCTCCAGGTGCTCTGGTGCTTGAAAAGAAGGTTTAACCCAGCGGCACGAAGCCCAGCTCCACGTAGATCCAATGGGGCCAGCTTTCGAACTTCGGATCCGTTTGGATTCCGATTGAGATTCCGTTTGCCACAATGATCAAGGCGATCAGTGGCTCCAAATCTTGGATGCGCAGTACGCTTGGCTACTTCAATGGCAAGCACAGGTCTCGGTTTCAATTCAAGAGTCCCCAAGAACACGGAAACAGAAACAGAGCGAAGAAACAGAGGAGGAAGTGAATGGGCTCCGAGGGGACTGCCAGGTCGTTCATTCGAACGAAAGTTAGCTCGGCCACGAGGCGATTGGTGTCGCCAGCCAGCCTTGGACTTTCAAGGGCTATGTGTAAGGAAAGCTGACATAGCTACTATAGTATAGCACCCGAGATTTTAGTAGGGATTCCTCCGAAGCAAAGAGAGCAAAAGATGGGAGCAGCTTCGGCGAAGCGACAGGATCTCCTTCACGGCCCGGAATTTCTTCAGCAGCTTTGGGCCGAAGATCTTCTTGTGCCTCATAGAGAACTTGCTGTGCAAATTTGCCGTGCTACCGAAAGACTTATTAGAAACCACTAATTCTCTTTTTTTCGACGGTTAGTTGCTGTGATTCTTGTTTCAATTCAACTTCTCTTGGAGTCGAGACATTTTTTTTTCGGAGTCTCCTGCGTTTCTCAAGGTTTTTGAAGGCGTGTACAGAGTGGGCTCACATGACTGAAGCCTTCCTTATGTATTAATCTGACTCATGTTGGAGTCTTAGGCCCCCCCCCCCCCCCCCCAAGAAAAAATGAAAAAGATTTGTCAAGCTGCATGGGCCCTTCGTGCGCGAGGAAGACGTCCATGAGGGCCTCCAGAGGCACCACGTTGAAGTTCACGAGGTTGCTGGTGTCCACGTGGATGTCGGGGTTCGAGGGGTCTTTGTAGATGCTGAAGGTCGACTTCTCCCGGTGGAAGCTGATCGTGGACTTCTGGTTCCGGAGGCTCGCCTGCGTTCCGCTGGGCCACTGCCAGACGGGCTTGGCGGCCGCGGGGTCGAAACCCCGGAGGCCGAAGAGGTCGAAGGGGTCCAGGGTGCTTTGGATGGTGCTTTGGATGGTGCCAGCGCTCCATGTCAGCTCCTCCTCTTCCTCAAAGCTCAGGTCGACGAAGGTCGCCAGATGGTTGACCAGGTCGTTGATCTCCTGCTCCGTATATCGTGTGAGCCCAAGTGCAGATAGGGAGTCATGGAGGGATTTTCCGGAGACCAAGCGGTTCTTCGTTATCACGCCCAGCCGCACGCGGAGCCGGTGCCTGATCATCTGCTGCTCGCTTTGGGACAGGTCCCGCAGATCCGACTGCAAGAGTGCCGAAGAATCCCCGTGGCTGATGGCATCCTCCTTGTCCTCCTCGCCTATGTCGAAGTCCGATAACTCTGTCAAGGAGGCCTCTGGGAAGACAGGGGTCTCGCCCTTTTCGATCTCTATCCGAGTCTGCTCGCCAAAGCGAACGCTTGGAGCTTCTGACTGGGCAGGGGACTCACTCCGAGGTGACTGAACTGGAGCCACCTCCGGTCCTTTCGCGTCTTTCGAGTGGCTCCTGGGTCTTTGAGGAGCTCTACTGGGAAGAGAAACTGCCTGAAGCTCGCTCTCCAAGTTCAGGAGTCGGTTCGCGTCATGCTTCGCGTCGTAGGCAGAAGCCAGGTGCTTGCGCAAGACTTGCAAGGAAGAGTCCAAGAAATGTAGGAAGGCATCTCTGTCTTCCATAGTCGGAGAAGCGCTCTTCAGATCTGTCTTGGTCTTTGTTTTTTGGAAGGGCAGATGCCTACTCGTTGTCTACAATGCATGTTGATATGTCAGAATAGAAGAACTATTCAATAGTAATTCCTGGGACAGGGTGGTTGGGAGCATCGGGAGGTCATGTGAGTCATGTGAGTCGACGCATGGGCCTGGAGCCCACAGCGCTTGGACAAGCCACGCGGCACTCCTTAATGGATATTTCCCAAATGGGGGAACCTTTTTTATCCCAGAATCCCATAAATCCCCTAAAGAGACCCCCAAAAGGGCACCGCCTTCGGAAACCCCCAACTCCAAAGAGTCCTGCGCTCGCCTTTTTCTCCGTCACCCCTCACTCTCCCAACTTGAGAGACCGGCACTGAGGTGTGGAGGCAGCCTCGGCGACGGGGGACTGCTTCGGAGACCTCGGAGCTTGTCATATCTTTCGGGAAAAGGGGGGGGGGGGGGGCTCTTCAGGTTGTTTTGGGGACGTTGCTTGGAAGTTCTTTGTGGGTTTGGGGGGTTTAATAGGGAGTTGAGCATGCATGGGCGGGATTTTGCAGTCCTTCACGGCTACTGTTGAACTGGACGTTGATATCTTAAGCCATGCCCTAGCCGCAAGAGTATCGACCACGAATCCAGTATGCTGCATGCCCCCAATGCCCTTTGTCTCCCCGGCGCAGCCTTTCGACAGCTTAAGAAGCTGAATTCCAGTGGCAATGCATCGTTCTTCTGCGCGCGCCGCCGAACAGCAGCGACTTACGGCTTGCCCGCCTTGCCACCGCCGGAACAACATTTCTGGAAGCAGAGCCCGTCGGGCTACTAGCACGCCACGGGCTGTCCGTTCTCGTTTGGACAGTAAGTCGTGTTCACCTTGTCAATCCAATCGCAGCGGGTGGTTCTCACATGCACGCTCTTGCCCCAGATCCGCAGAAGCTGCTCCTGCATCACGTACTCATGCTCAAGGAGCTCCTTCAAGGCACCTGGGTGTAGGTGGGATGGGAGGGAAATGGATGGGGGGGAGGCTTCTCAACTCATTTAAGGTCATCGAGATTCATCGGGTTTAAGGCGCCGGCTCGAACTCCAAACCTTCAACCTCTTGCGGGGGGGAAGCTTAGCTTGGTAGCAAGCTACCGTTTTGATGGACTTCCCAAACCCCCCAAACCTCAACAAAACAGGTCCTTCCTTTTCATGTCCCAAAGGCTCACCAGCGAGGCATTCGAGCAGAGGTCCGTCCGGTGCCCGCCCACCGAGTTGTAGCGCCTGCTGGGCCGGGAAGGGGGAGGGAAGGGGGAGGTGCTTCCCCAGAAGCCTTCTCTAAGAGCCCTCGATCTTCAGGGGGTTCCAACAAAGGGCCAAAAGCGAGCCTGAGATACCCTAAGCCCTAACCCTAAACCCTAAACGCCCCTAAGACCTCTTCAAAGGGTTTTCTAAAAGCCTTGGCCTGAAGTTCGCGTCCTCCGGGAAGGGCGGGAGCCCGAGAAATCCCACGAGGCTGTCGAAGGTGCTGCGTGGCATGTCACGGAGCTCATCTTGGTGCCTTTTTTGTCAGTCAGAATTAGTTAGGATTTAAGGTGTAGGGTTTGGGTTTGAAGGGTTTGTGTGCATTTTGTGTCGTAGGGGAGGGGGATGGCTGATGTGAAACGTGTGCTCGACCCCGGCGGCAATTCTGCTCTTTCTGGCACAGCGTGTTGGTCCTTACAGCCCCTGGCAAATTTTAAGACCAACTCTGCCCAAACAAATCATTCCAAATCCCCCCGCCCCCCCCGTTCTTCTGAGGGTGGCGCGAAAGTACAAGGACCAGTCCCAAATGCTGTGGTGAAAGGGTCAGAGCACGGCCAGAGCAAATGGCCCGCACGGCACACCCTAGGCCCTAGACCTGAAAAGAGTTCTGCTGCAGTCCTGCTTCCTTCTCGCCTTCCCCCCCTCCTCCCCTCCCCTTTCCTTCAGCAATTCTCCGAAGCACCTGCGGCGAGTCTACAAACTGCCCGCCAGGGCACAAGAAGAAGATCCGCCCCGAAAAGCGCTGCGCAAGGGTGGCCAGGTGCGGGGCCATCGAGATCATCTGCCAGTAGCCCTTCCTCTTTTGACGTCTCTGGGGGCCGCTTCGCTCCACAAAGTGTGCAGGGGATTGCCACCCTTACTTCCCTTTGGCCCTTAGAGGTTCGTTCGTTGAAGTGTCAACCCTCAGAACGCCCCCCCCCCCCCCCCCCCCCCCCCCGCTGCCCCCATGGCAACATCCAATCCCAACGTCCAAAAAGTCCAAGCAACAGCTTGCCGTACCTCTCGGTCACGATCGCCGAAGTGCTTCGGTAGCCTTGGGCCCGCGAAAAGGGGGGGGCCTCCCCCAACCCCCGACCAAAAAAAGGCACCAACAAAGCGCCTAAACTGCGAACATCACTGAACAGGGGAAACCCAGGAGCAGACCTCCGTGCCATCGCGGTCGGCGTGGGCCATGAAGCGCTTCTGAGCTGCACGGAGGTCGTCGTGGCAGTAGTGCCGCAACATGAACAGCCTAGGGTTGAGGCTGCTTCGGGGTGAGCTCCCTTTTGGGTTGATGGGGGGGTAATTATGGGGTTTATGGGGGTTTACAGGATTTACACGGTTTATGGGCCTTAGGGCCGTACGTGGATCGGTTGGGATTTGGGACGGGCCTACTTGCTGGTTCCGAGGCACTTCTCGAAACGCCCCACCGGATCGCAGAGCACCACGATCAGCTTCCTGACGCAAAGCTGCCCATGTCTACGCCCTGTTCTGAACCTGCTGGGAACCCGGCTTCATGTTGGGAAGTGTTAAGGGGAACCCACAGGGTTTGGGGAGCAACGGCTGCTTTGCATGGTGCAGTTGACGCCGAGCTTCAAGCGTGGCATGGCGGCCATCTTGTCCCGAGCCAGGGCACTGGGAAACAGCAGGGGGTTGGCCATGCCCACCTGAGACCCCTCACAAGGCCAAACCTTCAGAAAACAACGAAGTGACGCAGCACTTTGTGTTTTTTTTTAGGAAGCCCCCCCCCACCCACCAAAAACCGCCGAATTCTCAGGCCATCCTCATGGTGCCTCCAACCCTTCAAAAGTTGTTTATGAACCCCCAAAGAAACACACCAACCCTCAAAAAAGCTCCCGTGGCCAGGGGAGGCGCCCGTCGGGGTTCGTGACCGGTGCGTTTCCACTTGGCGGCCTTGGCCGCGTGCCACTCCGCGTTGTGCCTTCCAAGACTCTTGACAAGGGGTGCTCCCCCCCCCCCCCCCAATCCCCCCCCCCGCCCCCCATTTGTTGTTCTTGTTTGCTTTTGCTGTTTTGGGGATACCCCTGTTGTTTTTTTGGCATTCTTTCCCCACCCTTTTTGGGTTGACAGCGAAGACAAAGGAAAATTAAGCTGCCAATTGGGGTGTATCTCACCCCAAAGAAAAGGTGCTGATCGACCTGCGCCCGGGTCGGCAGCAGCCGCCGGGCGGCCGTGTGGCTCAGGAGCAGGTCCTCCCTGTCGCTCTTGAAGACGATGTCCGGATGCATCTCCAGATTCTTTCGCAAGGAGGTGGTGCCGCAGCGATCAACCCCCACAATGGCGAAATCGATGTCAAAGGCATCCCAACGCAGAACCTCGTCGCCGTCCACGACGTCGCGGAAAGTCGCGTTTCCCAGCATCCGTTCTGGCCTGGCTCCCATGAAGACGCGCGTGAACTCGGGATAGATGGTGCGGATGACCTGATCCGCGTCGCAAACAGCCGGAGTGCAAACGCTGAGTCGCAGATTTTCTGGCAGACTCTCACGCGCGTAGATCGCCGAAATGCGGAACGCGGAGGCAAGGCGCTGAACAAGAGAGGACTTGGCGCTGCCCCTTGCCAGGTCGTAGAGCTTCCGAAGATCAAGGACCAGGTCCCAGTAGCGACCTCCCTGGATGGAGCAACCCGTGATCGCCTCTTCTGCTTCCGCGAAGAGCAAGCCGACCCAAGCCTCCTCATATTGCGAGACTTTGTCTGCATCGATGCCGCGACTCCTCAGGAGTTGCTTCCAGTGCCAGTCTGGGCGATGCGAAATGGGCGTGTAGAGGAGAGGGTTCAGGGAGATGGCTTTAAAGCCCCTCTTCCCCTGCTCGTATTCGACCGAGCACGTCTCATCGGCTGCCACCCGCAGTGCCGGCACGGCGCACAGCGCAAGGAAGGCGCCATACATTCGGAGGCTCCGTGAGCGGCATAGGGGGGATTTCCCAGAGGGGGTTTAGGGCTTCGGGTTCGGTTTCTTTGGCGTCATACTTGGGGCACCCCTAGTTTGGGAAATAACATGCCAGGCAGGTGAAGTGATGCCATGTCAACTGCCCAAGCATGGGATGGCAAGAGCACATGCAGCAGCCGGGGTAGGCTTACGGCTTAACGACTCAAGGTGCTTAGGATGCAGGTTAGGGTTTAGGGTTTAGGGTACTTAATGCCAAATAGCTGCTTAGCTTTTATTCGATTATACAGGCTCACTTCGGCTTCGCGGCGATCGGAGACGAAAAGTCGCAACTCTCGGCCATCACACAACAAGGCGCACCTCCCCCCAAGCTCTCCCAAGACAGGCTTTAGGAAAAGGGGTTTCCTGGAGCAATTGAAGCCTGAATTCCTTTGGCACGAGAACCAAGAAAGTCCGGGAGCCCTGCGGCGCTCGGCCGGGCCTGAGCATGGCCTGGCCCAGTCGGGGAGAGCATCCCCCCCAAAGAAACAGGTGCTGAGAAAAAATCGAGACGAAGAAAATCTCAAAAAAGGGAGCATTCCCCCCCAAAAAAAGAAGGACAGTTTCGAGAAAACATCTCAAAAAAGGGAGGGAGGGGGGCGGACCCAAGCGAGGCCTGAAAGGCTACGTGAAACCCGAGAGGAGTTGTTCGGATAAAAGTCCTCGAAGCCTGAAGCACCTCAAGGCTATACAAGGAACAACCGGCGGGCCAAACTGCGACCAAAGTGTTGCAGCTGCACGTGCTGCCACACTGAGCACCAGCCCTTTTCTCCGTGGCAAGCGTCCTCGACCTGGCGCGTGCTGCCCCCTCGGCTGCACCGGGCTAACCCGAGCTTTGGGTGAGGCATCGGGGGGCGCAGAAAGCCCTGAAGCCCTGAACTCCCTTAACTTCCTAAACGAGGCTAAGTCCCTCTAAAGGCTAAGGGCTGTCGGACCCCCAAAAAAGGACTGTGGGCTCAGGAGGCTGCAAGGTCCAGGAGCGCCGAGGTGTCCAAATGTCCGACGTACCTTCTCAGGTCTCAAGGCTCATTGGGATACTAACTTTAGGGTACTATAATCCCTATTTTAAGGACTGCTAGTATGGGGGGGAACCGGCGCGAACAGAGGGACGACCAGGGCAAGCACACATCGAGTCTCCCCCAAATTGTATTTGAAGCAGCAAGCTGCAATGAAGCTCTCTCAATCCCAATCCCCACCTGCGGATGACCCGGTCCAGGTAGAAGAGCACCTTCTCTCTCTCTCTTTTTCTCTCTGTGTCTGGCGATTGGTGACAAGGGCTTCAGGATTGCTCCGAGGGCCCAAAACTAGGGCTTGGGCCTAGTGAAATTTCGTTGCGAAACAACCCGTCCTATCTTAGGCACTCGAAGAATAGTGCCTTGGCAGTTTGCCCCAACCCTGGATTTCTTGGGTTGCTCCTGCTGTTTTGCGCGTGCCACGCCCGGCTCGAAACTCCCCCCCCCCACCCGCCCACAAAGCCCCTGAACAAGAATGCCACTAAAGCCCCACAACTTCAAAGCTCCCCACCCCTACAGAAGCATTGTAAACCCTAAAGCTTCCCCCCCTCCCTATCATACTTACTATGTGCATTAAAAAGATGTGTGTGCATATATATATATATATATATATAGTTATATATTTTTTGTATGTACATAGAATATTATGCAATACAATACATTCTCATACAGTATACCACATTTAATAAAATATAGTACAATCGGAATTATCATAAATAATGTAATGTATGCAAAATGTATGTACAAATATCCACAAATAAAAAAACTCAGATAAACAAATAAATAAGAAATAAATAAATAAATAAATATATGTATATATACATATATATATATATATAGATGATCCTTGTCATCCAGGGTGCCCAGTCGTAGCTCAAGAACTTTCTGGCCCAGCGCTCGCTCGCTTCCGCGAGCATCCTGGCCACATCCTCATGCTCGTACCTCCCGCGCGCAGTCTCAACCGTTGCTTTGATGGGGGGAAGTTACGGATCTTAAGGGCGACGACGGCCTATTGGGACTTGTATAGGGGGTTCATGGCGCTCCCTCTCTCAAAAACAAGCGCATCCAAGCTGCAGGTACTTCAGCTTGTCCACCAGGTCCACTAAGTCATAGCCTCTGTTTTGTGTGCATTTGCCCTTTCAGAGGGCCAGAAAGCATGCATCTTATCATTGTGTGTCCCTTTGACATGGTCTACAGATCCAACGCTGTTTTAAAGTCTGCAAGGAGCCTCCGACCCTCATGACCCTCAAACCCAACCCATGAAAAGCTATAAACCCTTCAGCCCAGGCCTTGTAACCCCACCCCGCCCCCCCCCCCCCCCCCCCCAAAAAAAAAAAAAAAAAAGGAAAACAAGAATAAGAAGAAACATAGTAGGTGAAGTGGCGGATGGGTATGTAGTGCTCGGTCGGTACCAGGGCAGCGGGCCCTCCAACCTCGCCCACCAGCCAGGAGACCCATGGGCTGTCTTGAACCAGAACAACCTGGGAGTCTGAAGAAGGCATTCTCCAAAGAGATCTATGGGGCCTGGAGGGCTCATAGGGTTTTCTTGGGCTGTAGGGGTTCAGGCAGAGCCCTCAACACGGGACACCTCGGGCAAAAGCATTTTGCAAGCACCAAGCGGCGCAGCCCGCAAGCATCTGCCAATAGACGCGGTCGCCGCTTCCGGTCCCGTCGATGTTGATTGCAAAGGCATGCTCGGCCTGAGCCAGCTGGCTCGAAAACCCGTCGGTGAGGTCGGATTCCACGCAGTAGTCCCAGAGCCTCGGGAAAAGTGTGAGAAGACCCTGGCTCAGTAACTTGTGACGATGTGATCTTGTGCCCGTCTTTTCGGGTCATTGGGGGGGGTTAAATGACGACATCTTCGGGCAGGAGGGCGGCTGGAAAAAGGCAGGAAGTGGGCGGGTGGGTGGGGGGCGGGGGGTGGGGGTGGGTGCTGAATCAGGGGGGAAAGGTGGAGGGCATACGCGTAAACGGATTTGTGAGCACCTGGGTGTGGGGTTGGGCGGGGGGGGTGTTGTCTCACGCAATACACCAACCGCATCCACTCAGATGGATTTGTGACCACCTCGGCGGTGGGTGGGGGTTTGGGGAGGGGGTAATAACGACGTTGTTTCACGCAATGCACCACAACCGCATCCACTCAGACGGATTGGTCACCTACCGAAGCAGAGCCCCCATTCCCAAACAGTTACTCCCACCCCAGACCTTACGTGTGCGGTCCGCCCCGCATGCAGGACGTGGCAGGTGTAAAAACTTTCGAACACCTCATCCTGCGGCCTTGCTATGCTTTGACCTGTCAGTTTATTTCCGGCAAGTGGCCCAGAGTGTGGCGGACGAGACCGTGACAGCCCCAAACCCCCTGAAGCGGACGAGACCGTGACAGCACAAAACCCCTGAAAGCAGACGAGACCGTGACAGCCCAAAACCCCTGGAAGCAGACGAGAGCGTGACAGCCCAAAACCCCTAGAAGCGCACGAGACGGTGACAGCCCCAAACCCCGCCTAGAAGCGGACGAGACCGTGACAGCACAAAACCCCTAGAAGTGGACGAGACCCTGACAGCCCAAAACCCCTATAGGATCGGACGAGACCGTGACAGCCCAAAACCCCTAGAAGCGGACGAGACCGTGACAGCCCAAAACCTCTTGATTCGGACGAGACTGTGACAGTGCGCGGTCACAAGTGACCCGCGAGGGCGGACACAAGTCACCCAGCTGAGGAGGTCGCAGGTGACCAGTATGCCCTCTCAGTCGGCTGCCTCTACTTCCTTCATACCGGAAAGCGGTCGAAACACAAAAATAGAAATGGGAGCAGACTGAACCGGGAAGCTCATCGTCCATGAGCTGCGACTTCCCAGACAACCGCGCGTTGATGATCCTCAGCTTCTCTTTGGTTCCTGGGGGGGGGGGGCGGGGGGGCTGGCGCGTAACAACGCTTTCAACATGCCTAGCATCGTCAAACCCGAGAAACGAGGACCATAGCTTAATCAAGGCCTTCTCGTGTGCAGGCTCTGCCCTCATTTTCAACAGTCAACCTCCTCCCCCAAAAAAAAACTGGTAGGTTGCAGCCTCGGAGCTCTGGAAAAAGCTGCGAGAGCCGGAGCAAACGGCCCCGGGGCATCGACAGCCAGTTCGACGCGGACCAGGGCGTCCAGCAGTCGAAGGACTCCAAGCAGTCGCCCCAAGCCTGAGGAAGGAAAAGGCAGGGAGAGAGTTTGGGGATGCCTTTGCTCTTCCTTCTCAAGAACCCAAAAGGGGCGGGGGGGGGAGGGGCTCTTTGATCTAAAGCTAAAGCCAACGGGCTCTTCTCGCGAGTTGAGTCAAAACCCCCCCAAAACCCCCAACGAAAGAACCCTTGAGCCGATCTCTCCGAAGCCTGCAGGCCGTCGCTGACGCGGCTCGGCTCGCACCCCATGAGGCAGTTGGAGTTCGTGCCGCGCCAGAAGAGTTTCCTGGCTCCAAGCTTCCCCCCCCCCTTCCTTGTGTGGGTTCTGTTTCTTCCCATGCATACGACAGCTCCAGCAAACACTCCCTGATGCTGGCCTCGGGCGCTCCTCCCAGGGCCGCTCCGCGCCGTGTCGCTGCACCTCGGGTCGCTTCTTCTATGAGAGCTCTCAGAAGAAGAAAAAAGGGCGACGGAGGGAGGGAGGAGGGGGGGAAGGGCCTGGCACCTGGCGAACTCCAAGAAACTCCCAAACAAACTCCCAAGGCGCCGCGATGGTCTGCTTGCGGGCCTGGCTGGTGGACTTCCTTTCCCTATGCTCTCAGGCTACGATGGCACTAGGGGGGGGGGTTCTAGTGTTTTGCAGGCCTTTGTGGACCTGCACGCCAGCAGCAAACTACAACATTCAGGCTCTCTCTGCTTTGGTCGTTTGGGAGCAGAGGTGAAGAATGTAAGCGGTTTGGAGGGCAATGTAGGGCTCACATGGTCCGCAAGGCCAGGATGCTCTGAGATAGCTTCTGCTAGCCTAAGATGACATCAGGAACTGAAGAACGCAAAAACACTGAGTGCTCAAGATCCCCACAAAGGAGCTCCGCATGGTGCAAAAACAGGGCGAGTTTAGAGGCTTTTGGGCATCCGTAAGCTGAGTAGAACGAGAAGTCTTGAGATCGGCCTGGCCAGGGGAGAGCTGCCACTCCATTGGCAGCAGAACATAGTGGCTCCTGTTCAACAGGGTTTGGCTGGTGCAGCAGACTGCAAGGCCCAGTTTGAGGAGCTTTCAGCGCAGCGTCACAGAAAGAGAGAGAGGGAGGGAGAGAGAGAAAGAGAGAGAGAGAGAGAGAGAGAGAGGGAGAGGGGGAGAGAGGGAGGGAGAGAGAGAAAGAGAGAGAGAGAGAGGGAGAGGGGGAGAGAGGGAGGGAGGGAGAGAGGGAGAGAGGGAGAGAGGGAGAGAGAGGGAGGGAGGGGAGAGAGAGAGAGAGAGAGAGAGAAACTGCCTCATGCCCCTTCCCCACTCTCAGCCTCACAGATTTCTCAGCCTCGCGGGGCCCCCAGAAAGCAGCTCTGAACCCCAAAGCTGATCCCCAAGCCCTGAACGCAACGCAAATCCCTGGCCCAAACCCCACGCCGGCACTCGCCCTTTTCGCCAAAACCCTAAACCCTAGACCCTAAACCCCAAACCCCAAACCCTAAACCCCTAAACCCTACACCCTAAACCCTAAACCCTAAACCCTAACCCCCCGTGTTTGTATCCTCGGCTCCCTGGGCCGATGCCGGGCGAAAACGGGCACCGAGGCGTTGGCGCGATTCCTGAGACCATGGGGCGGACTCAAGCATGAGACTTCCTGTGGTTCGTAGGGAATGGGGGGGGAATGAGGTACCCTAGATATGATCCCTTAAAGGCATATATAGGGGCCTAATTCCCTCATTCCCTGCTAACCAACAGTTCGGAGAGGGTGCTCAGGGTTCTGGTGCTGGGAATTTTGCCAAACTTAGGGGGCTCTTAGGATTTGGGATTGGGGGGGGGGTCAGGTCAGGGGATTGGGGGTGTTGCGGGGTTCGATCTGTTGGCTTCAGGAGTCGAGAGTTGCTAGGTCTTCGGGGACGATCGAGAAAGATGCTCTTTGGGCTCCGGGGCTTGATTGGGATTTAGCCTTTTTGGTCAATGCTTTTTCGGGTCCAGGGCTAGTCAAGGTAAGGGGATCGTTTGGTAACCAAGCGCTTAGGCTTCGAATGGAGACGCTCTTGGCTTTCTAAGCAACTAACAACAGAGCGAAGCAGTAGGGTTTAGGGCTTAGGGTTTAGTAGGGGTTCAGGGGGGTGCTCTGGCCCCCCCCCCATGTCTCGCGGCCACGCTTCGTGTTGGTTGGACTCACGAGGAGATCCACGTCGGGCCTCTGGAAGCGAGGCATGCTTCTGTTGCTTTTGGGCGAGATCTCAGCGCTTGTAACGTCTTCGTCTGAAGCCCCTAAGGAAGAGGCCCCAGCTCCTCTCCCATGACTACGAAACCCGAAGAAGCCCTCCAAGACCCCTGTAAAGGAAACCCACCCGAGAAAGTCCAAGCAGCAAGGGCCGCAGCCTTCCCACGATGGACAGCGCGCTCACCAAGGCAAGGACGTAGGAGCAGTCGAAGATCGGTGCCTTTCTCAGAAGGGCGTTTTCCCCTTTAAACAGGGTCCTGATTGGTTTTAGCAAGGTCATCAGGGGGTTACCTTTTTTTCAGGGTGCTTAGGATTGTCAACCCTAAACCAGTTCGCGCAGTTCTCCACCGAAACACAGGGGAAAGGATGCATTTCTTCTGGGAGACGCCAAGTCGCGGGGCAGCATTCCTGGCGGTCGTTCAGGGTGATCTCGTGCCCGCCTGGGAGCTTCTTGGCTTCAAAACACGTCTTGCGCCCAAGTGAAGAGGCTCTGAACCCCAGCCCTGCAGCCTTCAAGTCGCCAACCCCCCCCCCCCCCCGAAGCCTAACCCGCCTAACATTCTAAGGAATTAAGGTCACTGCCCCAGAAAAAAGAAGCACATGCGGGGCGTGAAGGGTTTTTTGGAATCCTGCAGGGCCCACATGCAGAGCCCACATGCGGGGCCTGAAGGGTTTTTTGGAATCCTTCAGGGCCCACGTGCGGGGCCCCCTCGCATTGATGAGGTTTAGAAGTGAGCCTAACCCGCCTAACGCCGATTCTAAGAAATGAAGGTCTCTGCCGCGCATCCCAGCAAAAAGAAGGTGGCCATCTGGCTTCCTGAGCCCCCCTTCACCTGGGGCGCGCCTCGCACGGAGAGCAGGCAGGGCCGGAGGCCATCGGGCTGCGCGTCCTGAAACTCCTGCAGCTCCTGTTGAGGGCACCCTCTGACCCAAGTCAGGCTGTGGCAAAACCGTGTTGCCGGGTTTTGGTAGCTCCTTTCTGACCCAATCTGGGCCGTAACAATCGTATTGGTGGGTCTTGGTGGCTTTTTCTGAGCCAGTGAAGCACCGAACGCTGATTCCTCAAACCCTGAACCTGAACAACCTTGGCTCCGTGGGAACGTCGGTTGGGGTCTTGGGTTTCATGACTCTGCGAGGAGCGCTCCCGATGTTTCGAGCAAACAGGCAATTCTTGACACTTTGAACATCTTGGAACCCTAAACTCTTCTTGGCATCTCTGATTTTTCTTGATCATCATGCGCTTCGAGGAATCTCTACGCGAAACTTTTTCTGCCGGCAGCTCTGTTCGGAGGTGTTTCTGTGTTGTTCAAGTTTCCATTTAAACGAGGATTCTAAGAGAGGTACCGGAACGGAGGAACCCCACATTCTTGCTTTGCCGAACCAATCCCAAATAAAGCGAAGGGGGGACGGGCTCCGGGCCCTTAAACGAAGTTCTTGGGAGGTGTGCTTGAAACGGAGGCGACGACTGGGGGGAGGGGGGCGGGTGGGCCTTTGAAATGTGGGAGTGCAGCCCTTTGATCCTTTTTGCTCATGAGGGCCCAAGCATCCTTGGTGGTCCAGCGCCTGTTCTCGAGCGGGGCAAACTCCCGGTCCAGCTCCACTTGCCTTACGAGCTCGCACAAGGTGCTTTTGGTCAAAGGGCTCCATTGTAAAAGGCCACCTCCATCCTGTAACTTTCTTTTCTTTGGGGGACGGGGGTCGCAGGAATCGTGAAGGGGGTGGTGAGGAATGTGGGTTCTAGGATGCCGTGGGGTTGTGGCCCGTTGCATCGCAACTTGCAAATGGCAGCCCAGTTGCATCCACGCTTCCTCGGTGTCCTGAGCCAGCAGCCGCCGCAAGACAGGCTGGCAGCATCTTGGAGTTAGGACAAAAGGGGGGCATGTGTAGTGCAATCGGGGGTCTTGTCTGGTGCTTTGAGAAGGTTTTTGTTCAGATGTGCTCCAGCTCTTGCTTTCGCTTGCTTCAGAGGAAACTCCTAGCTCTAAGTCGTTCTGAGAGTGCAAGAGACACAAGGGTGTTCTGAGTGCCCACCCCGAGCCGCTGGACGAAGGGGTTGTGCACCGGCTCGCTAGGATCCAGCTCGAAGTAGCGCCAGCAGGCATAGGCTGCATCGCCCGGGACCACGCAGCAAAACTCGCGCAGCAGCACTGGGGAGTCGTGCAGCGCCTCGGTTTTGTGGTCAGAGGATTCACAGGATCCTCAACCCTGCCTTCTCGCGACTTCGGTGCAAAAGGGGCACTCGGAAGCCCTAAACCGTGGACTCGTGGACCATGGCTTACAAAAGCAAGATCCCCACAAAACACCGCACTTAAAGCAGGAAGAAGCAGATGGCCCCCCAAGGCACATCCAGGATGGCGGTGCCGACCTGGTCGGAGGACGCGGCCACCGAGGCCAAGATGTGATCCCAGTCGCCTTCTGATCGCTTTGCTGCAGGGGCTTCTTTTGGGAGGATTCTTTTTCCAGGGATTTTGTTTCGGGTTCCGGCGTGTTCCTCGGGGTCTCGTGGGGGAAACGCAGGGAGAGTGAAAGGAGGGGGGTAGGGTGCGGGTCGTTTAGGCCTGGTTGGAGGCTTCTTGAAGGCTTTCAGGCTGATGGTCTTTCATTTTGTCTTTTCAGGGTTTTGGCTTAGGGTTTACAGGGTTTATAGGCTTCTGGCGCAAAGGCTCCTTCGGGTTTGTTTACAGGGGCTTAATAGGGCATTTATAAATTTATAAGGGGCTTAGGGCATGCTTGGGGATTTGCACCGAAACACACAGGCTTGCCCAACAAGGACTCGGCCGCAGGGGTCTTCCAGTGGCGTCTCGCAGCAGAAGTCCCAGGAGAAGAAGCCGCCGAGGGCCCCGAAGCAGTCAACTCCCGACCTAGGTCCTGAGATTAATTCTCAGGGGCGGCGAAGATATCCGAAGCAAAAGCACAAACGTGGCACCCCTCAATTTTTTGGGTACACCTGGGTACGCTGCACCCTACGGCATAGGGCTTGAAGGGGGACATTTTGGGTATAACGCTTAAAACCAACTTAGGTTGGGGAAAGAGTGGGGCCCAGTGGCAGGGGGTCGCCGCAGCATTCCTCATAAGTCAGGTTGATGCCGAGGAAGTTGCCGTAGGGGTAGAAGCAGATGTCGTTTCCACCCATCGAGAAACGCCAGGGCCATCATGCAGTTCAATACTTGAGGACTGTGCCTATCATATGTCTTGCACCTGCCCCTTTTGTCCGCGATACCTGGGCTCTTACACCCATGCTCGTGGAGGATTTCCGGATGGTGATGGTTTACCTACCTCAAAAGGGGGGGGGGGATTTTGGGGGGATCGAGCTTCTGAGTGCTGTACTTTGAAGAAGCCTGCGGCGTGACGTTCATTGTATGGTGCAATTGCATTGCGCACCCCAGCCCCCGCCCCTTCCCCTCCCAACATGCCACGCTTCAACGTCCACGAGACACTTGGACCTTCCACCAGCACTCCCCAGAAGCTGTCCCAAACCGGAAGCCCGTCAACGTGCAAGTTAAAGACACCATCCTTGGCTCTTGCTCCCACTTGGTTGTCTGAGCGCCTGTCAGAGGCCCCTCTCATCTCTTCAAACGTTGCGAGGCGAGGCTCTTAGTAAGACGACACTCTCTGCAAACCCGCTGTTTGCATGTCTCTGAGAAGCCTCAACGCATCTAAAAAAATGAGAAGTGGCTTGAAGAACCACAACAGATACGAGGATAGCGAGCCCGACATGACTGTGGAGTTCAAAAGGATTCGCTATGCCGATCCTTCCTTGCCTCAACTTTGCTACCTCAACAATATGGTTCTTAACATGCCCCTACATCACCACATAGCCTTGAGCCCCAAAAGCCACAAGCCCTAAGCTCCTGGAGAGCGACTTGAGGAGGAAACCATGGAAAGGCCGGGGGCCTCACGTGCTTCGCGTCAAAGCAAGCCGAGCTTCGGCGGTCATCCCTGGGCCCGAGGGCTTTTTGGGGCTTCGAGGTTGAAGCAGTACCCTAAACCCGAAACCCGAAACCCTACGGAAAAGCCAGAGAGGCCCTGAGAGCCTCCTTGAGAGGTGCAGCCAAACAGCAAAACGTTTGCAAGGCTCAGGATGACGACGGGCTGGGCTTTGATTAACAGCTGATCTATCCGACTTTCCCCAAGAACAGCACAGGGCAGCATAAACCCTAAAGCCCGAAGGTCTGGAGTGAGGCGGCCCTTCCAGCACCTTTCGGGCCCTACAAAGAGCCACCCCAGGAACCAGCGAGGCTAAGACGCCTTCTGCGTGATCAAACTTCCCTGGAGCCCGACATTTACCCATGTTTGCTTTGCCCGCATGCTTTGAACACACCCTGCAAGGCAAGGCCCTTGGCAAGCGGTAACTTCGTCAGCCCTGGGGCCACTGCCCCGAGCATTGGCGCAGCCTGCAGCGAGTGTTGTTCTGTTGGGGCCTTGAGGTGGAATGCCAGGGGGCTGCATCAGGAAATCAGCTGTCTATTGTGTTGGCCGTTGAAGACTTGAAGCCCCCAAGCATCACCTGTCTATTGTGTTGGCTGTTGAAGACTTGAAGCCCCCAAGCATCAGAACGACCGAGTGCGAGTTTGGGCCTGGGTGTTGAGGATTGCCAAGGGACGCAAGGGAAGCGACGAGCTCTAGGATTTCTCGGGTTTTCGCGCTTGCCCCTCGCTCCCAAGTGAAGCTGCGGTGAGCGCTCACGTGCTGGGTGGGCGGTCAGACAATCTCTACAATTTCCGCAGGGTACGCACGTGTTCCAGTGCTCCAGGCAACTTTCTCACCAGCAATCAGGCCACGATTCAATCTCTTGAGGCTCTCCTCTGTAAGCGGCGCAGGTTGGCCCTTGATGAGCAGTCGCCCGGCCTGACGCAGCCGTCCAAGTGTCACCGTGAGCTCTCCCGGGCGGAGCACTGCAACCACACCGGAGAAGAGCACCGGCCATCCCTTGTCCTTGTCCACAAAAGAGTCCACGTCGGCGTCGAAGGCAATGAAGCTGTTGGCCCCGCGAGAGAAGTCGGCTCGGGCGCCAGTGTAGGCATTAATCATGTGCCAGCTGGTCATGTGATAGCCATAGTGGCTGGTAAGGTATCCGCGACCATCCGCCGCGCTGACTCCGGCAGGACGCCAGAGATCCCTCTCCTTGATTGTAGGGCTTGTGACAACTGCTTGTGGAGGAATCCCTGAAGGTGGGTGAGCTGGGACTTGTTGGTACGGCGAACGCAAGTTCACCAACCAGCAACTACAACGATATGACCACACTGCCTCAAAACCGGCACTAAAAACAAACAACAAACTGCGCAACAAACCTCGAAGCCCTTCAGGACGCCCGAGCTTCAACATCGCGCCAGACGCCCAAGCTGCGTCTGGGCTGGTCCATCGTCGCCTCGTCCCGGACTCCGCGCCGCATCCACAAGGATGCGTGGTTCGGTGGGGCCATTTGCCAGGTGTTGTACCTGAAGTCTAGGAGGATTCGGGAATGTGAGGATGAATCTCCTTCTCTTCTGGGAACCTTCTTCGAGCACGACCTTGCCTCTGTGCGCAAAAGGTCATGATAACACATAGAACACACCACACCACAACACCCCCACTAAACGGCCCCACTAACCCCTCAAGCCCGAAGTTTTGAGAGGGTCAAAAGGCTTCCCCAGAGCCAAGGTGCTTCCCATCCGGCCAGCCCGAGGCCGTGCCCTCAATGCGGTGCGCGAGGATGGCCATGCCGTGCTTGGTGGAGTTGCCTCGATACATAGGGGTCATGAAAAAATATACACACATAATGTATGGTCAAAACAAAGTGTAAACGCAAGACATACATATACGTATAGGTGTACCGATATAAATATTCAACAAAAAACAAATATACGTAACATATATAGTAAATATGCGTGACGTTTGTGCACCGTCAGGAAACCGCTTAAGTTCTTAAGACCTGAAGACACCATCCGGGGCCTCTCAATGCGAGAGGAGTTGTTGGGCTTACTAACTCTTCTCAAGAAATGAAAGGACATCGGTGCCGAATGAACATCTTGAAGGCTCCTAGGAATCTGTAGGTACCCCGAACCTCCAAACCCCAAACCCTAACTCCCACTCAGCACCCGTAGGTTTCGAGAAGCCCACAAAACCTGGACCCTAAATAGCCTAAGCTCGCGTGAGAGGCGTCGAGAACAAGCAGACCAGGCTCTGGTCTCCTTCCCGACCTTCCCAACCCATCCCCTGCCCGAACCGCAGAGACCACGCCAAACAAGAAACCTCTCCTCCAAGGCACCCTTTGTGTGGGACTGCTGGGATCCACTTCAACAAGATCTCTCCCCCAAGCCCCCGCTGCCTGCACTCATGTCGTGCGTGGTGCACCAAGTGACTTGGGACTTGGCTTTCCTTCGTCTGTGATGCGCATGTTGCACCCCGCGTTGGGCCGGCTCGGCTGCCCCCCAAAAAAAAACGCAAGCGTCTACAATTCCCTAACAAAGAACCGGCGAAGTTTGTAGTGAACGCCCGAAATCGTGGCGGGCGGCTTGCCCAGGCCAGCTGGACGCGCAGGTGCTCGGACAGCCGCCAGGGCTCCACCTTTTGATTCAGCAGCATTTTAAGGGGCGGACGAGGGCTTGTAGGGTTCCAGGTGTTTATGGGGGTTATAGGGGCTAAATGGTTGAATTACGGGGCTTCGCTGAGGAGTCGTCGTTCTAGAGTGAAAGTCGAATTTTCTAGTTTTCCCTCTGGCTTTCCAGCAAAATCGAAACAAGGCAGAGGTCCTAAGGGAATTGCAGAGCCAAGCCACCAAGTCTCCCAATCCGAGCGTGTCTGCCAGGACTTGGCCGTAGAAGGTGTCCGCCATGATGGTGTCCCTATCGGAGTCACCGTTGGCGAAGTAGCCCCTGGGGGCTTTTGCAGGAAACCCCCTCAACACTGGCAGAAAAAAAAGAGACAGAGAGAGAGAGAGAGCGCGGCAGCATAGAATCCAACAAAATGGGATGCATGGGTGATATACTGTGTATCTATGTATGTATGCATGCATGTGGACTATGCTTCGTGAGGAGCGACCCGGCCTTAGGCCCCTCTCGTTGGCCGGAAGGTCCACCCACAGCGCCTTCCGCATCGTCTCCTGGGCGGGCTTCACCCACCGGTCGCATTCCGCTTGGAAGGCTGTGTCCCCCATGAACTCGGCGAGCTTCGAGCCGACTTTCAGCGCCAACAGGTGCATCACGCAGTTGTAGCTCTGGTACCTTGGTAGCCCAGTATAACCACATATTTGTGGTGAAGGGTACCCTTTTTTTGGGTTGGTTACTTGGTTACTTTGCAAGGGAACCCTCGGAACCGAAACAAGGGAGCAGGGTATCACTGGGCTTAAAAGGTACGTAAGCTTCTCTGGAGCAAGGATGTCGTAGGTGTTCACGAGCCTCGTCGGCTGCCCACCGTGGGAGGCACCTTCCGTGATGTGCCACTGGACGGCCTTCTTTGCTGCAGGGTACAGGTCTCTGACCATCTCCGTGGTGTTGCGCCACATCAGGGCTTCCAGCAGGTAGTACGCGAAGCTGCTGCTTACGTCGGACATGATTCGGCCGCAGCCTTGATCGATGTGCTTGTCTGGAACGCCGAACTGGCAGCCACACATAAGCTGCTCCTGGATCATTCCGTTGGGAAGCTGCGTCTTTGCCCAGGCATACATCTTCGAGTCAATGCTCTCCGGAAAGTAGAAGCTGTATGCCAGGTGCCTCTCGCAATCGTTGTGCACGCTGTCAACGTTGATGCAATCGAAGGCCTCCCACTGCCGGAACCGCTTGTCGGCGGTGATCCACGCCGACCTCATGTGAGTCAAGCTGTTCAACAGGCTGTCCGCCAAGAAGTCCGGAACACCACGATAAGACTCGTGTAGGGCCTTGTAATTCTCCAGCAGGCCCTGCTTCTGCGAAAGCACTTCTGCCGCGGCATCTTGGCTACTGGGGTGAAGCTTTGAGTAATAGTTCCCAGTCCAGTTTGACAGGTAGAACCGGTGCGGAAAGGTCCACGACAGAGCGACTGAGATTGCAAGGTCCCCATGAGGGCCGAGTGTGTCGGATGCAGTCAATGCCATGTGACTCACGTGACTTTGCTTTGTCGGGGCCTGAGGTGCTCCAGAATCAGTGGAATCAGTGGAATTTAGCCTTTGCAGGACCTCGAGGACGGAGGCGCCCAGGAAAGTGCGGTGCTGAGCTGAGTCGGTGCAAGCCGCAACGGTGCCGGCAGAAGGGTGTGAGCCTGCGACCTCGAAGCTGATGCACCTCTCCCCCGACTTCTTCCCGAGCTGGCCCATGAGACCTGAGACGCTGTCTGCCGAATAGCCTCCAAGAGGGGGTTCCTGAGACACATCCACCGCACACTGCTGGGATGAGCGGTTGAAGGACCAGCTGCAAGAGGCTTGGCTGCACAAAGCGGCGCACTCCGCGGCTGTGCCGGCGTGACTCACGTTGCCTGTGCTTCGCTGATAGCTTCCCGTGACGCCTGCCGGCATGATGATCCCAAACTCAACGTGGAACTGGTCGAGCCCGACCGGCGTGCCCAGGAACCGGGCCAGATCCTTCGGCATTCGGAAGCTAACACAACCAACCGCCCAAAAAAGCCAGAAACACGCCAAGCGATGCAGTCGAACATCTGCAACCCAAAACGGCTATGAGGCGTCTGCTAGAAAGGCCATGGCGCCTCAACTGAGCCCGACAAGCTGAGGACCACCACGGGTGCTTGGCTGGCGTCCAGGTCGCCATAGACCACCTTGCCTGGGGCTCAATTGCCCCCTAACAAAAGGCCACTCCCCCCCACCCCCCCAACCGAAATGAGATTGAAGGGGCTCTCAGAAAAGCGCAAGAAGCCCAGAATCGCGCCGAACTCGGCACCGAACTGACCCCCCCCCAACCCCCCCTCCCTAACACAAATAGACCTGAGTAAAGGAATCCCCCAAGACTTTTTTCCCCAAAGCCGCTGAAGGCGAAGACCGCCAAGTTGGTGTCCTCCACCGCCAGCCGGGCCAAGGGGTAGAGGCCGCTGTACCGGAGCTGCTTCACCTCTGCCGGCTGAGAGATGCATGTTTTGAAGCAGGAGAAAGCCTGGGACAAAAACCCACTGCATTTGGGGGAAGTTGGGGGATAAGGGGATGGCGGCCATCCTCCCAGATTTCGTTCTTGACTCATGTTTCGTACTGCGCCCCTCCATCCCCTCTCGCCTCGAAATCGGCGCCGACGCCCTCCGGGAGCGCGGCCCCTGCGTTGCCCAGCCTCAGGAGGGCGGTTCGATGCCGGGCAGCGCTCGTCACCTTCAGGGGCTCAGGGTTCCTGCGAGGCCCGCTTGAAGAACGTCCCTAGGCGGAGCCCCTTGATGGTGACCTTCTGCTCAAGACCCACCCCCCCCCCCCTCCCCAATTGTTTCGAAAATGATCCTTAAAAGGGGGGGGGTCTTCAGAACTCCGCTCCTTCAGCACCAAGGCCGCGCCCTCCAACCTCGGAAGTGCTTCGAAGTGGCGAAAAAGCATCTAAACAGACGGCATACTTGCGGCATCCATACCCCCCCCCCCCTTCGCCTTCGTGCAAAATGTCCGGTCTGAGGGGTATATACGGAATGTACTCTATGGCTATATGGCCTACTGCTTTCTGCTACAAGAAACAGCAGCCACATGTTTCAAGAGCGCGACTGCTCCGGCCAAGAGGCAGGGACACTTTTGGAGCTCCAGCAGGGTAGCGGTTGTCCACCAGCCACTCTCGGAACCTTTCTTCTCATTGAGTCTGAACTGCAGAAGTCTAACAACATCACAAGACACAAGCGCGAAACGGTTTATTGTGCAGCAGGCTTGCAGCTAGCTGCGTACTATCGCTAGTTCATAATAGAGTCGCGGCACTTTGACAGAGCAGCGAGCTCAGCATATAAGAAAAGAGTAGAAAGGGGGTACAAGTTCGGTACAATAGTCACCAAAGTCGCAAGCAGAAACCTATAAGGTGCAACTACGTATGCTGAGCGAGGAGCGAGCCGTCGCCCCTCAACTCGAAGGATCCGGTGCCGACGCCCCCAAGCGCAATGCTGCTGCGCACCCCCATGGAGGGCGCAACGTACCGGGGGCTGTGTGCTGACGTGAGGCCTGGGGTGTAGGTGGGCAACGGGAGCACATCCTTCAGGAAGCAGCATGGCCCTCGAGTCGTGCAGTTGCCCCAGGGCGCCTTGATGGCTTCGGCCCAGGTGAAGGCCACACACCTCGGCTCAGAGGCGCAGGAGGCCGCGCAGGCCTGGGCGCTTGCGGCCTCTGAGGCCTCTTGGGTTTGCCGGTAGTCTCCTCCCGGGAAGTCCACGCCTTCCAAGAAGTCCAGGGACACCGGCGCTTTGGCGGCTTCGGGCTGCTCTTGGAAGAGGAACTCGAACCAATCGCAATTGCCAGCTGCGTTCCCCTGAGCTCGGCTGTTGCCCCAGGAGTAGTTCGCAAGGGTGCAGTTCTCACACTCCACGTAAGCCGTAGCCGCCCGGAGGTTCAGATGCCTCGTGGAGCCACTGAGATTGCCCTCATGCAGGAAGGTGAAGGAACGGAGCAGGTCAGCATAGCTGGCACCAGAACCCACCAGCAAAACTGCCAAGCACGTCACAACTTGCAAGGTGGAGCTGAGCGCCATGGCGGGAGAGGCCGAGGCTCTCACTCGTGGGCCTGCCAAACGGCGACGGATGTCAATAGCGGCAGGTGGCGAGGCGAAGGAGAGCCAAGGTTCCCACACCACAAAACCCCAGGGCCTCAATCCCCAAACTCTGTAGACACTCTCAAATACGCCGTTTGACACCAGAACACCCTCTCAGGGCTCCCCTCGCACTCCTCCTTCGATTTGTTTGGGGGGGGGGGGGGGGGCGGAGTGCAGGGAGTGAAGGGACGGCTGGAGACAGAGCTGAAGGGGCTGAAGGAGTTGAGGGGGAGAATCTCAGCATGCAGAGTTGTTAGCCCGGCCCTAGATGGCCGCTGACGCTGAGAGGCCTAACCTTGCCGAAAAGCTCATGCCCAAACCCTTCCAAAGAAGAGTCGAGCTTTGTTTTTGGTCCAAGGCCGAAGCGCTCAGGAGCCCTTGCAGTGCTGCTCTTGCCGTCCAGGAGGCACGTCCGGGCTGCCCTATAGCCAGCGTGTTGCGCCGAGCAGCCACCAGTTCACGATGACTTCACGATGAGTCCCATGACGTTGAGGTCCCTGAGCCCTGTGAGCCCGAGCCGAGGCGTGCGGTCATCTCACTTCGCCAGCATCAGCTTCACAAACTCCTTCCACACAACCTCCTTCCAGGATGTGGCTTATCAAGCTCATAACAGTACGCATAGTCACGAGAAAAAACCAGCAGCATCATGATACCGACAAGTAATCAGAAGAACCGGCTCAGCAAGAGGCGTTTGATAAGCCATGCACAGGTGTTTAAAAAAGCTCGGGAGCTGCACCGCAGGAACATGCGCCCATCGAAACCACTCTACGTCACCGTGTCCTCTCAAGCTCCTTGGCTCCAGTGCAACGGCCCTTGCCACTTCTTTCCCCTTACTTCGGCCTAACCCTGTCAAAATCCTTACACCCTTAAACCCTAAACTCCCGAAACCCTCTTTGACCCCATACACAGCACAGCGGCCCTAAACTCCTTGTACTTGACCATCCCTTCCAGCACCAGCCCCGCCGCTGCGGCCTCCTGCAGCATCTCCTGCATAGGGCTCAGAGGACGCTCGGCAGGGCTCCGGGGGGCCGAGTTTTCACCTGACCGCAAGTAGACCTTTAGAACGCAAACCTAAACCCCAAACCCCAAATCCTCAACCCTAAGCCCTATTCTCGAAAGCGTTGCTTGAGGGGAGGGGGGCTTCCGACTTCGAGGTCAAAAGCCTGGGAGGTCTCCTGGAGCTCCTCCTCAGAGGCACGCTCGCCGAGCCTCCTGAGCCACAGGAGTTTAATTAGTTTTGGGGCTTTAGTTCATGGTTTAAAGCTGAGGTTTAGGTTTAGGGTTTAGGGTTTAGGGTTTAGGGTTTAGGGTTTGGGAATTGTTTAGGGTTTAGAGTTTACAGGGATGTTTGGGGTGTAAAGTTTCGGGACGTCCCCCCGGAACCACGTCGCTTCGGTTCGGAGGGCGTTCTCTAGCGGCATTAGGCAACCCAACAGCTCTGCTTTTTTGGGTTCAGCGCCTTTCCATCCCGTTTTTTTCAGGGCTTTTAGAGTCTTTTAGAGGATTTTCGTTTTTTTTGGTTCAGAGCTTCTAGGGCTTCCCAGCCAACAGCTCCCTTTCATGGTTCGGGCTCAGCTTCTGCTTGTAAGGCCTAGAGGGCTTTCCACCAGACGTCAAGTTTCGGTTCCTTCAGAAGCTTCTGCGTGCCCAACATCCTTTTACGTCACAGAATCTCCGATATTCTCAGCTCCCAATGCAGACTGGACCCTGCAGAACGCGAGATGTCAGGACCAACACGGATGCAGACGTCGCATGCGGCACTTTGCAGATGGAAGTAACTCTTCTACCCCTACCTTTAAGGAAGCCTGCGGGCGTCCTGCGTGGATCTTTGCCACCCGACTCCAAAGTGCATTAAAGGGTTCTTACGGGATAAAAAAGGTTGAGAGAGGTTCTGGAGGGCTCGACGCGTACGCAAGGTGATTGGCAGGCAATACCGAGCGTCTCCAGCGCGTCACGCACGCCCTCCTCACTCACGAGGCCGCTGCCGGTGGGGTCGGAGGCTCGAAACGCCTCGTAAATCTCCTCCTCCTCGGCTCCGCACCCGGCCTCACCCCCTATTCAAACCGAAGGCCAACTAAAGGACGATAGACGGCGCGCGATGGGCACATGATGGCACATGCATGCGCGCACCAACTCAGGGAAGCTTCCGCGCAGCCGCAGCAGCCGCGGCAGCGGAACATCGCCAGAAAGTCGGGGAACTCGAGGCGCCCAGTCCCATCGGCGTCCACGTCGTTGATCATGTCTTGCAACTCCTGGGAGTAGGTTTTCTTTTTTTTAACGCAGGCGTTCAGTTCAGGGCAAATTGTTGGGTAGAGCACGGTCCGAATTCAGGGCTTATCGGACATAGAGGGCTTTAGGGGTTTGTGGTGCAAGCTCCGGGTCGGGAGGGTTTGGGGGACAGCCTCTCACCTGACTCGCAGCGCGCAGCCGCTCAACGACTTATAAAAGTTGACCTTCTGTTCTGCCTAGGCGGTCTAGCTGCCGTGCTGTCATGTGCCTGGCCCACGTTGGGCAAAAGCACGCAGGCCTCGCTTGCCCGGGTATCTCACACATCCCCTGCGATGTGAGAACAGGCACTTTGCAAGTGGCGCCATTTCTTCGGGCGCCTGGACGTTGGAAAATGTCAAGAAGTTTACCTTCACCAGCTGTGGACTTCAGGGGAGATTCAGGAGTCCTGAGAGCACAAAATGATCTTGAGACTGTTGATATTGGTATCCCAAAATAGGGGTACCCTTTTGAACAAGGGACCCACCCAAAAAAGGGTTTCCCTATTCTCGGAAACCCCCACATATCTGACCTCGTGCCATGCAAGGTCTTCTTGCTGCTCTGGCTCTCCTGCCGTACAACTCCTGCCCAAGTTCTTCATGACCGCACCCAGATCCGCGATGGCGATGCTTCCTAAGATGCACTTCACAGTCTCCGGACGGCGGGAAGAGTTCTGGGGCAAGAGGGCGGGAAAAACATTGAGCCTTCTGGCCAGGAAGGGTTCTGAGGTGCTACTTCGACCTCGCGGGTAGCTTGCAGGGGTTTAGGCTCGCCATCTGCGTGCGTGGCTCCCGTTCCATCCTTGTCGAAGGGCCGAAACGCCCCCTTGTACATCTCGACCTCCTCCTCAGTCATGGACTCCATGGCGACGGGCTGCGCGGCTTGAGGGCTCAAGGACCCTAGAAAGGCCCTCTACAAACACCCTATCAAGACCCTTTCCACACCCAAAATACACCCATGACCTTGACTTTTGCGGCACTCCAAGAGTTTTCCTGAGATGTTCCCCTTTCCGAAGATTATGCCTTGGTCTCAGCTTCAGAGAAAGGTCGAGGCCGTGGCAACAGTGTTAAAGAAAAAGGAGCGCACACATGAGGCAAAAATGCACATGACATCTGTCTGCCAGAGGGGGTGGGGCGGGGGGAGGGGGGGTGTGGGGCGGGGGGCAGGGGCTGAGACTAAGTTGTGGTCCTGCTATCACATATATGTATATATGCATAGAAGTATGCCTAGAAGGGCTCTCTTGAAGTTCTGAGGACACTGAGGCCTTGGAATTCGAGTGGGAGTTGATTCAGAGAGGGTTTTAGGGTTTAGGGCTCTTCGGGTGCATGGGCAGCATTTGGCTGAAGAAACACCCGACCCAGAAGTCTCACACCCGGCAAAAGGGCGCTCTCTTTTTTTTGACAGCGCCGCCCGAGCTGCCGCCTGTAGAGCCTTATGTGCCCCTCATGGTGGTTCTTCAGGAGGCCGGGTCTTGGAGATGTCGGCCCGGATATACTTCCAGTCGCCAACATCCCAAAACATGCCGGAAGATTCGCTAAACTACCCTGAACTTCCTGAAGCTTCCCGACACTTCCCGAAACTCCCTAAACTTCTCAGCCTGAGGTACTTTCACTTTCCAAGGGGAGGTGCACAGGCCAAGTCAGCGGCATCAAGGAAACAGGGTTTGAAGACGTGATTCACGGCCATGGCCCGATTCAACTTTGTCCTGTTGCCCTGGCTTCTTAGCTGCTTCTTTTCAGCTTGATGACAGCCTTTGTATTCTTCTGCCATCTCTTGCTAGATCAAGACTGGAAGACATGTTTGCCATGGCCCAATTGAATTTTGGCTTCTTTCTTCACTGCCTGTTTCAGCTTGATGACAGCCCATTCAATCGTTCTGCCATCTCTTGCTAGCAGTTCAGCACTTTCCATCCCCCAGAATTGCAACCCCAGAAAATTAAATCATGGTAAAAAACGGGCAGCATTCCCCCTGCCAGCTCGCAAAGCAAAAGGTGGCGGATACACGACATTCCAGAATGATTTTTTTGGAATCTTTTCGAATGTTTTTGCTTTCGTGGTGCTTGGATTCTTGCGAGTTGTTTTGGATGCTTCGTAAGTTTTACCATGTGGGGATTGGAGTTTTGTTGCCCGACTTTGATGCTACTTGGGATTCCCGTCGTGCGGCATCTTCTGCTTGCTCATGGATGGTTTTGTGGTGACACGACAAATTCGGCAAAACTTCGTGGCCAGGAGAATTAAGGACCTTCCTCAGCAAGTTTGGGAAAAGTGGGTTGTGAAGGTTTCAGCTTGCCAGATGAAGATTAAGAGCAAACTCCTGGGTTCGTTGATGAGCAAGGGTTTAGGGTTTAGGGGTTTAGGGGTTTAGCGGTTTAGGGGTTTAGGGGTTTAGGGTTTTAGGGTTTTAGGGTTTTAGGGTTTTAGGGTTTTACTTTCCACCACAAATTGTTTACCACCGCCCAAAAAGTCTGAGAGGAATGCTGGATGGAGAGCGCTGACTGTCAAAAGGTGGATCCCCACATTTGCTTTTCAAAGGGCTGGGGGGGCATTGAGGCTTCAAAGTTTCCAGGGCTCTTCCCAATAGCCGAGAGTAGGGCAACATGCACAAACATTTCCAAAAAACCCCAAAACTCCCAATACATTCCAGAAGCACTGAAGAAGCACCCTTGTGAAGAAACACCGCATGGGCACATAAGATAGAGTCACTGTAGGGAGAGCTTTAAAATTTCGCCCAGGCGCTGCCAGCTTCAAAACACCTGGTTGAATTCTCACGTCGTTACGACTCGTAAAGCTTGCATTCCATCAGCTGTCGGCCAAATGTAGTGTAGTCTGTGCGGGGTCCAGAGTAGGTTGTTCCGTCCTCCCTGAAAATCTCAATGGTCTTGCCGTCCACCTCTGATCCCACTTGCCGGAACGCGGCACATGAAAGGCACCACCGCAATATGACCCCACCGTGATGCACTGTCCTCCGTTACCCTAAGGACCTCGGAAGAACCAACAAAAAAGTCAGGTAGATGCTCACGCAAGGCCGGGCACGTGCGTGACTGTGAAGTGCCTTCCGTCCACGTCGCCTATGCGAAAGTTGCCGATCTGGACAAAGCGGTCACCTGACGTAGGATTCCCTGATGATCAGGACCCTAATGAGGCACCCCTAATTTCGGTAGACCCGAAACCCTGAACCCTGAACGCTAAACCCTGAACACTAAGCCCTAAATATTAAAACCTAAGCCCTAAGCCCTAAACCCTAAACCCCTGCATCTTGCCGTGGGAAGCCGCCGAAAGTCACCCCAAAGGCCGCTCCCAGGCTCCGATGGTCGGTCGTCCAGAGATTGAAGTCCTCTCTTATAAGGGGGGGGGGGGGGGGGCTCTGACATGAAAGCTGAAGTTTAGGGTGTTGGGGTTTGGGGTTTAGGGTTTAGGGGTTAGGGTTTGGAGCTTATAGGGTTTAGGGTTTAGGATCTCGGGGTGTTGTTGGGGGCTTTTTTAAGTCGTGTGGGGTTGTCGCCCGCTTTTGAGCCGCTTGGATCATCGTTCGCATCGTCTCTATGACAGCTAGCAGACTTGCGCCCTTTCTGGAAGGCTCAGGTGAAAAAACTTCAGGGCCTTTCGCAGTGCAATAGCAGCAGCAGAGGCCGGGGAATGGAAGCTCGCCCGAGGACCCACTCAACCCCCCACCGGAAGACCTACATGCCCTAAGCCCTGTGACAACCTAAGCATACCAAGTAGGGTTTAGGGTTTAGGGTTTAGGGCTTCATAGCCCCACCGGCAGCTTTTGCGGGGAAGGGTCCGTGCGCGGCCCGAAGTGCCGGGTGCCGTCGCTGCGCCAAATCTGGATTGTTTGCCCATCGCTGTGCGAAATGGAGAGGTGCGCCTGGCCAATACAAAGAAGGGAGGTCAGGGTTTAGGGTTTAGGGTTGAGGGTTGAGGGTTGAGGGTTTTGAACCCCCCCCCCCACTGCAAAGTGCAAAAAAAGGGAGGGTTTCAAGACTCTTCACGGCAAGAAGCTCACATACCCAACGAGGCCAGTATCCTTTAAAGGAGTCTTCCCTAAATCACACATTCCGTAGCTCAGCGGGATTGGGCCTCCGTACCTGACTCACAAGTCCGGGCACTCTTGACTTTCACCTTCTCCACTGCCCCCGCCCTCCCTTTAGGGTTTAGGGTTTAGGGTTTAGGGTTTAGGGTTTAGGGTTTAGGGTTTAGGGTTTAGGGTTTAGGGTTTAGGGTTTAGGGTTTAGGGTTTAGGGTTTAGGGTTTAGGGTTTAGGGTTTAGGGTTTAGGGGCGTGCTTCCAGTCCTAAAAATCTAAACTCTTGCCCCTACGAAGATATGGGGGCTTGTTTCATCGGATACTTGGGCCGTTCATAGAGCGGTTATGCAGGGATTGCAATTCGGAAAACATTGGCCATTCATCCGAATGCCTAGTCAATGAATTTGGGCGGGATAAGTGTGCATACGCTTCTTTAGGGACTATGAAGTGGAGGCAGCCTGAAACCTAAAACCTAAACCTTAAAGGGCGTTTAAGGGTTTAAGGGCGTTTTATGGCGTTTGAGGGTGTTTAAGACTCCAAGGGTTTAAGCGCGTTTAACAGTGTAAACACTTATAGGGCTTACAGAGGTTATAGGGTTTATAGGCATTACAGGGTTTATTAGGCTTTGTCGGATTTATAGGGTTAGGGTATTTATAAGGTGTAGGGTTCATAGGGTTTATAGGGTTTAGGGTATCCTGTTAACCCTATAAACCCAAACCCCATAAACCCCATGAAACCCTTTGCGCCTCGTCCACCTCGCCAAGGCGGAAGTTTCCAAACTGGATGAGCCGGTCCCCGAAGCGTAGCCGAGTCGACTCGCCCACCTCCTTCCAAAGGAAAATTCCAGGGGGCTCACAAAAAGTCGGGCTTCTGGTTTGGGAGTTTGGGAGGGGTTCGGGTTAGGGAACCCTAAACCCTAAACCCTTAAACCCGAATCCATCTCTAGAGTCCTTGGTCTCTCGATCCCAGCTGCCCCAGTCCGTTCGAGGCCCTGGGGTAAGAATCCCGTCGCCGCCTGAGCTTTCTGGCAGGTTTTGGTTGTGTGTCTTGGCCGGGGGGGCTTCTGGAGCTTTTGTTTGAAGGTTTCGTAGGGTGTTTCCTACTTGTTCCTTCTTGTTTAGGCTTTAGGGCTTAGGAGCTGCGATAAGACCTTCTTTGTGTGCAAGATAACAGTGGTGATGTTGAAATACAAGTAGTATATTGCCATTCTTTGACATGTTCTTGGCAAAAGTAGCCATAAAAATCTTTCCTCTACCATGCTTTGCTGCGCAAACACTGTGTTCCGAGCCTCAAACTATCCGAAACAGTTCCGCAATACACTTGCGACCGAGTAATTCTCCTCTGGCACAGGCGGCTGCAGCTGTACTGTTGCATTTTCGCAAATATCCGGCAATGTTTTTCTCCCAGCAGGCTCGTCGTCGACGGCCCAGATAAAACCCGAGGGCTGCAGAAACAGACACAAATAATACCACTATGACGAGCATGCTTGCCTTCGAGTGGAGAACTGCCCTAACGCTTCTCAGCCCTAAGCTCTCCAAACCCTCTGACCTCCACTTCCCTCTAAGGAAAAAAAAGCTGCAGAGCAAGCTGCGGAAGACCTGCGCAGTCTGCCCGTCCTCAGGGACAGCAACATCTGGGAATCCGGGCTCCATGGGCAGCTGTCTTCTACGAGCTTACGGAGGGCACGCGGCGGCAAAGCAAGGGACGCCACGTTGCTACATGTTTTTGTGAAGGGCTGCTTCGGCCCAGGTCCTGGTGAGACACGGAGAAGTGACCCCCGTCCATCGCGCCCAGGCGCCACTCACCCAACTGCAGGAAGTCATCACCAGTAGCGATCCCAGTGCAGGTGCCGAGCACTGTCTGCACAGATCCGCAGTGCCACTGCGGATAGCGGTTGTTCAGGGCAGGGGTCCAGTCGGTTCGCGGGCCAGGGTGCTGCGTGCCGATAGACGCGTACTTCCTTGCTCTTCTTGGAAGAAGAAAGTCAAACAGGTCAAAAAGGCAAAATAATGCTTCGAACTTCCACATGCCTAAGGAAAATCCAAACCAGATGAAAGTTCAACTGCTAAGGATAAGGGTCTGGATGGTCTGTCCGCCATCGTGGGTCACGATGAAATGCGCAGCACCGGCGTCGCCCAAGCGGAACCTACCCAGCTGGAGGAATCGATCTCCGAACCTGGCAAATTTTTCTCCAGCACTTGCGTGGTTCCTCTCTGGCCGTTTGACATCCGGAACAACTCCGAGCCGAGGCCCCCCAACACCCCCCCCCCCCCCGCACCCCTGACACCCTGGGAAACCCCGAAAGAAACGTAACCCTTACAACCCTTACAACCCTAAACCCTGGACCACCCTCAGTATGCCCCTCTCAGACTGGGGCGCGTGATGCCGCTCGGGGGGCCGGTGCTGCGGGTCCAGGCTGTGTAGTCCTTCAGAGGACGCAATTTCCTAAGGGGGCTGTAAGGGGCTTTATTTTTTGGGTTTAGTGGGTTTGGGGATGTTTTGGGGATTTAGGGATTCATGGGGCTTCATGGGGTTTTCTGAGGTTTACAGTGTAAAGTTTACAGGGCTTGCAAGGATAGTACCTACAGTCGCCAAACAAAAAAATATACTGATCCCTTTCAGCCCGCGGATCTGTGCGGGGCCCATTATGCAAGGTGCCGTCGCTGCGGAAGATCTGGGCAGTGCTGTCCTCCGGCCGGGCAGACGGGCTTATCTAACACGGACACCCGAACCTAAGCTTCGGGTAAGAGAGGCTGCTGTTCACTGCAGATCGGCTTGTTGGGTATAGCTTGTACAAGTACTATGATTCTAGAGGGGCTCTAAGGGGATAATATAGGTCATTCGGTTTGGGAAGATGGGTTGTGTGAGTCAAGGGTTCTGGCGCCGGAGACAGCCTCGTTCTCGGTTGCGGAGGGAGGTATTCGGAGGGGGGCTTGCCAAAATGGGAGTACCCCTTTTCTGTTTCTACACCCGAAATAATTGGAAAACATCTCTTGACCTGGTGCTCCATGTGAAAGCCTAGAACAGGCACATGGGGATCATGGGCAGTGTCTAGGTATGGTGCTCCCTTATAGGGGTACCTTAAATCCAAGGCCCCGTATTTGCATAGGAGCCCCATGTGGGGGCATCATCTAAAAACTGGACACGTGCCCTCGGAAACTCCCCCAACCGCCGATCTTCTGAGACAAGCGCCGGCTGGAACACATGAACACAGTTGGCGGCAAAGGCAAACGGTTCGGGGGGGGTCTTCGGTCCTAACGTCCTAACGCGAGAAAAAGTGGTCCCCCCTCAGTCTCTCCTTGTGCGCAATGCTGAGGTGGTCCGCATCGATTTGGCCCAGCCGGAACTGGCCAATCTGGATGAAGCCCGGCCCGAAAGCGATCCCGGAGGGGAAGCCTGCGAGCTCCCGGGGGCTTGCGAGACTCTGCGAAGATATGAGTGATTCATATAGGGGCCTCAATAATTGGAATCATTTGTATATTCATAAAGAGGCCATAAGGGAATGCGAAATTTATTCCGACTCCGGTAGCTTGTGCTCTCGAAAGCAAACCCGGGAGATTGGGGTAGTTCGGAGGGGTACCCTAAGCCCTAAGCCCTAAACCCTCAACCCTAAACCCTAAACCCTGGGTTTAGGGTTCAGGGTTTAAAACGTCAGACCTCCGCTAGGCTTGCTCCATGCGCGGGCTCGGTTGTGTGTGGAGCTCTCAACACATCCTCGCGCCTAGCGGTCGGCCCCAGGCGTTGTAGTCCTTGGTGAGGGGGTTCGGGGTTATTGTGAAGGAGGAAATGGAGCCCGATGTCGGCAATCACGGACTCAAGCTGCTCTTGAGTTCCACATGCGTGCAGCAGCATAGGAAATACTCTAAAACATTCCGCTGTCTGAGTGTCCGTTCGTGGCCCAGGGTGCACGGTGCCGTCGTTGCGCCAGATCTGCGGAGTCTGGCCATCCTACGTCCACGTGGGCATGCGACCTCCTTCCTTTTGGCTGCTAAGCCTTTTTGGAGCCTTTTTTTTGTTCTCTCTCTGGGGGGGGCATCTTGCGGCCAATGTGCTTTCGGGGCATGATGCCCCTGAGCTGTTGCAGCATGCAAATAACGCTGCGCGCCCCACTTGACTCGTGAGGCGTGAGGTTTTTTGCCGGTGCAAAGGGTCCTTCAAAAGAACTGCGTTGCCCAAACATGCTGAAGACCCCCGCCAGACGCTTACAGCTCTGCCAAAACCAGTTCTGGGTTTCAGGGCCTTTAGGGTCAATCAGGCTGCGGCCTTGTGCGAGATGGAGAAGTGATTTGCATCGATCGCGGCCAGGCGCCAGTCGCCCAGCTGGATGAAACGATCCTTGCGACAGTGGAGCTCTTGGGTTTAATGCTTCGGAAACTCCAACTTTCGGGCTCACCATAGTGAGATGGACTGAATCCCTTGGAGGGTATATATAGGCCCCTAATTCCCTCATTCCCTACTAAGAACCAGGGGGTGGATGCTTTGCAGAGGGGCTTTAAGGGACTGTAGGCTATGGTGCGCCTTCAAGGCTGAAGCTCTTTGACGTGGTGGAGAGAGCCCGAAGATAGGCTCATGGGGGCTTGTTCGGCATCTGTAGGAGTTGCAGAGGTCTCTTGAACCCCACCTACGGTAACGGAAGAAAAACCTCACAGGAGCCCAAAAAGCCCATAAACACCATGACGAGGCTCGCCAAAGGCTGCCCATTTTTCGCTGCAGGTTCCATACGCCATCTCTGCAATGTCCTCTCGGGCTGCGACTACTAGGATGGCCCTTAAAACCGTCCGAAAAATATTCCTGATTGTGATCCTCTTAAGCCCAAAAAAAGCAAAATAGAAAATATCCCAAAAACCAGGGCCTACCTAGACTAGTACAGGTCGACAAGGCAGATAACCGTGTGGGACTTGTTGCATTTGGCTTTGACTTTGGTGCTGAAAGGATGTTCATCTCTTCCCCTCATATTAACTCCCCTCGTAGATTGATATTTTGGTATAGGGGGGGGGGAATTTTATTTCAGGGGTAGGGGGGTGGGGTGTTAATATTAGGGTTCAGGGTTTAGGGTTCAGGGTTGACCGCTGCAAAATAGAGCCTTACCTTCGATATCCCCTTGGCTTTCCAGAAGTACACCGACACACACACAACTATACATGTATGTATGTATATGTATATGTATATGTATATGTATATGTATATGTATATGTATATGTATATGTATATGTATATGTATATGTATATGTATATGTATATGTATATGTATATGTATACATATACATATACATATACATATACATACATATATATATATATACATGAATGAAGATACATACATATACAATACAAATATGGATACTGGTGATTCCGGAAGGAGACTCCACGTTTGAGAACAAGCGGGCCCTTCAAGCAGTAGCCCGGTCCTTGCATGTCCAAGATGCAGGTCTTCGTGTAGAGATCCGGCTGGTCCAGTAGGTGTCGGGGCCTGTGCGAGAGTTTTCATCATTGCCATAAAGACACCTTGTCGTGTTTGGCATATACGCCGATAGTCAGTGACGCTGGTGGTGCTGATGATAATGATAATCGCTCTTGTCTTGTGATTCTTCATCTTCCGATGAAGTATCGTGATTTGTCGCCCGTTAGAAACCCTAAATACCCCCAAAGCCCTAAATCCTAAACCCTAAGTCTAAATGCCCCTAAAGCCCTAAACCCCTAAACACCCCTGAAGCCCTAAAACCTCTAAAAGCCCCTGAAACTCCAAGACCCATGAGTCTTAAGCTCCCAGCCAACTATGGCTCGACCCTCCGGCATGTTTCAGGAGCATTGAAAGGGTTTCGGGCCTTTAGGGTTTGGAGAGGGGTGTCTGGGGTTTAGGATGTTAGGGTTTAGGGTGTTTAGGGTGTTTAGGGTGTTTAGGGTGTTTAGGGTGTTTAGGGTGTTTAGCGTGTTTAGGGTGTTTAGGGTGTTTAGGGTGTTTAGGGCCTTTGGGGTGTTAGGGAGGTTTAGGGTTCGTAGGGTTTAGGGTCTGAGGTTTACGGAGTTTCAGGCTCGGAAATGCGGTGAACTCTCGAAGCTCAGAGAGCACTCTGCTCATTTGGAGGCCTGGGTGCGTCGTGCCATCAGACCGGTAGATCTGGATCGTCAGTCCTGACTGCGAATGAGGGTCTAGTTGGCCTTTTAAGACTTTCGGCTGCTGGGAGTTGAGAAAGGGCGCCCAAGATGCTGATGATCAAGAACTGTACATCTGAACCCTGAACTCCCCCAAATCTGGCCCGGAAGCCACTCTCGTGAGTGACCAGGAAGTGGTTGCCGTCCGCGTCCCCCAAGCGGAACTTGCCGAGCTGAAGGAAACCTTGCTTAAACCCTACACCCTAAACCCGAGACCCTAAACCCTAAGGCTCCAGGTGCCTTCCCCCTTTCCGATTCGCGGCCCCTAGCCTGGGGCAGACATATGCAGACAGACACACAGCTGAAATACTATATATATATATATGTATATATATGTATATATATGTATATATATATATATATATGTATATATATATATGTATATATATATGTATATGTGTATATATATATATATATATCGGCAGACCACTCGAACCCCTTCATGCGCTTCGCGCTTGAGGCGAGAGATTTTCAACCTCTGCATCCAAGGAGCGGTCGCCCACGTTGATGGCCGTCGGTGCGGACTCCGGGCGGTCGAAGGTGTGCCTGGGAAGGTCAGGAACCATCTCATAGTCAGGGTACCCTTTCTTGGTGGGTTTAGGGTTTGGGGTTTTGGGGTTTAGGGGTTTAGGGGTTTAGGGGTTTGGTTACTTTAAGGAAGGGAACCTTGAACCCAAGGGGGTAAAGGGTACCGCTGGGCTGGCGACCAAGGTGCCAGGTCTTGTGGACCCCTGCGTGCAGCGTACCATCGCTTCGGAAGATCTGTTCCTCGACTCGCTCATTTTTTTGGGGGTTTTGAGGGGAGGCTCAGGGCAGGGGTGGGGGTACGCAGGTCATTTCAGTCAGTCTCAGTTGGGTAAGAAGGTTCATGCTTTTTCGGACCCGCCGAGTGCATTCATGCACATAAGCAACCTGGCAAAGAGGGGGAATCCTGGCAGCGAAAACCGCTTGTGGGAGAAAAACCCAGGTCGCTGCCAAGGCACGGTCCAGCCCCCAACGTGCGAGATCGAGAGATGATCGTCATCTACGGCGCCCACGCGGAACTTCCCAATCTGGATATCAGGTTCAAGCGGGTGCTTTCAAGCTCGAGTACGCTCTTAGATTATGTTTGGACTGGTTCCAGAAACAACCCCCACACCCTACAAATCCTGAACCCCAGAGCCGTGGAGCGTGTGCACGTTGTGTTGCGGACTTCGAACAGGTCAATTCATGGGCGGTTTTCCCTAAACAGAGCCTTCCAAGTTTCCAAGAGCCCAATACTAAGTCCCGTTAGGGTTTGGGGTCCTTAAACCCTAAACCCTAAAACCCTAAACCGTAAACCCTCTAAACCCTAAACCCTGGGAACCAGACCTGGATGTACTGAAAGCCGAAGCTGATCCCCCGCGGGGGACCGATGGGTCTGGCCCAGGCGTTGAAGTCCTCACAAGCTTTCGTCTCGTGAGCTGTTGTGGGGGGAGCGCTTCAGTTCCAGGGTCTTTGCAGTTTCGGGTTTGGGGTTTGATTTAGGATTTAGGGTTTGGGTTTTTTTTCGCGTTTAGGATTCAGGGATCCGCTTCGAGCCATTCCTCCAAAAGAACCTCCTCAAAACACGTCGAGCCCTGAGCCCGAATCAAGAATGCTTGCGCTGTGGCCGCTGTAGCCCAAGCATATGATGAAACTAAGTGCTTCTCGGAGATGCGCAAAAGCCCTGAAGCCACAAACCCTGAAACACCTGAAACCCATTCCTGCAAGTGGGGTGTGGGGTTGGGCAAAGGGGGAGGGGAGCTTTGGGGTCGGTGGCAGCAAGGCGAGGTTCCGTGCGCGGCCCGGCGTGCACAGTGCCATCGTCCCGGAAGATTTGCGCTGTTCTCCCGTCCTTGCAGGGGTCTTTAATGGAGCTTGCAGGGTTCTCGGGGTTTTGTCGGGTTTGACAAGGTTTGTGCGGTTTAGACTGCTTGATGAGGTCTATAGGGTTTTGAGGGGGGGATCTTGAAAGGACGATACCGCAACCTCAACCCCAACTCAACCCCCACCTTTCTTTGTTGAAGCTGCAGCAAGCCCCCCCACCTTTCTGCAGCAAGGGGTTCAGGGATTGAAATGCAGTACCATTACGCAGACGAAAAGCCGCATGAACTTGAGAGCGGGGCCAAGGAAGGCTAGCTCCCCCAAGGTGGCCGTCACATGCTTACTTAGTCAGAGGCGAGTCAGGGCACTGCAGTTGCTCAAGAATGACTTGCAGCTGCCGCAGGAAAGGGATTCGCACTCTGGGGGGGATTTGCAAGCTGCAGGCTCGGACACTTGATAAAATGCTGAACTTACGCATTGGGATCAGGCCGAAGGTCCCCCTTCCGCAAGTCCTGCTTGGCCCAACGCAACCAAGGTTGCAAACAATACTCCCGTTTCTGAGAAAAGACTACGAGAGGCCAAGGGATTGGAGTTATCATGGAGAGATGCCGTCCTTGTGTGCGATGGAGAAGTGCTTGTCATCGATGGCACCCAGGCGCCATTCACCAAGCTGGATGAAACGGTCGCCCATGGGAACATCAAAGCACGCTGACGCACTGGTGGTGGACTGAACCTTGCTGTGAAACCCCTTGGACCCTCAAACACATCCAGAAGCCAAAAAGTGGGGGTTGGGGGCTTTGTTTGAAGCTTCTAGTGGCTGCGCTTTTGGACTTTCGAGCTTTGAGGGTGGTTGGGCTGCGCTGTTTTGCTTTGGCAGACCATGTATGCCATATGGGCCATATGGCGTTGACGAAAACAGGGGACCCCCAACATAGACCCCCAAACTACCAGTAGTAGGATTCCCTGATTATAATAAGGGACCCCAACATGGTACCCCCCCCCCCCAATGTCGGAACCCCCCCAAAATATGGGAGCCCGGGAACCTGCTCCTTGACTTGCGACGCCGGGAGGACGGCCACCAACGGCGTGGGCGGTCTCCCGGCGAACTTGCAGCCCAGCTCCTGCTCCCAGAGAGCTCACAGCTCAAGATGCTGCCGTTTAGGGTATAGGGCTTAGGGCTTAGGGTTTAGGGATTAGGGCTTAGGGTTTAGGGATTAGGGTTTCGGGCTACGAGACATGACATGATGCCGGGTTCCCAGGCCCTCGCACCCGACCATCCTCAGAACTTGTCGTCGCTTGTCAGGGTCTCATCTTGTTCGATTTCCAAAAGTGCCGACAGTTACGAGACCCCCCCCGCCCCCCAAACCCAACAAAACTCAAGGAAGCCGTACACCACACACCACACCTAAAACCCCAAACCCACACCACCACCGTCGGATTCAGATATACGTGCATACACACACTTGTCAGGTGCGGACGGGAAAGGTGTGGACATAAACACGCTGGCACCGCATACTTTCAGCTTGCTTTCTGTGTCCCCGAGGCCCTGAAGCTTTTCCGCATGCATGCTAACCAATGTAACACCGAAGTCTAGCCCAGAGGCAGAGCACCTGAAAGCATCTGGTCGTAACTAACCCGGCCCTCGCTCCACGTCATGTTTCTTTGCCTTCCAGTATGTTTGCTGCTCCTCTTTTGTCAGCGCTATTGACATGCCCCGTTTGCCCACTCTCCTTGTCATCCACACTCCGGGGGGGGGGCCCTGCTACCACTGCTCCACCCTCAACTTGTTCTACCACAGAGTTGTTGCGCCATGCTTGTGCCATCCGCTTTCTACAACGCACCCTCCAGCACACGCTTGTGACGCTGTAGTCTGGACCCTTAAGCAAGCACGGGTCGTGGCAACATTGACCCAAGAATGAAATGAAGGTGCTTCTGATTGCAAAAAGAAACGAACAGTGACAAAACCCACCCAAGCATACGCCCTTCAACCTCTGAACATCCTTAAGCTCCAGAACCGTGCCTAAACACCATAAAGTGCAACCCTCTGAGCCCTGAACCCAGTGAAAACCCCTGAACCCCCCTTCACCCCCCCTGGCTTCCCCCCCCAGGCTCCGTGGCGCAGGAGGCAGAGTCAAAGCCTGGCGTCCGGTAGACCTCCTTGCAGTACCTTTGTGCGCGCACGTCATTATCCTCACATTGTTTCGGCCTCAAGCTTTTTTTTTGCCTTGCGCCTGTTGTTGACAGTGCTTTCAGTTGGGGGCGCCGGATCTGTGGGTATGTTTAGTGAGGGCTGCTCGCTTCTTCAGAGCTGCAGCTTCGCCGGGGCCAGCAGCTGCATGGAGGGCGTGGAGAAGTCCAGGTTCAAGTCTGGAACCAGCCCCGTGATCGCTCCTGGGAGGGACCCACACCCCCTTGGATCCTCGAAGCGCCTTAGGGACTCCACAGAGTCCCTAAGCTTCCTTAAGGTTCCCTGGGGGTACCTGCCCCCCCTCCTTAGAACCCTATGACCCCGACATCTTCTCCACAAGAGCCCCCCGCTCCGGCAGCTGCAACAGCCGCGTCCATGGCCAGGTCGGCCACCTCAGCTGGCTGTTGCAAAAGTTGCAGACATCTTCTCTCCAAAAAGCCTGGAAACAAGCAACTCCAGGCGGTGGTCACATGAACACATGTGTATGCCCATTAAAATGACATATTGTATGCAGATGTATGTGTATGTGTATGCGTGTGCGTATTTAGGTATGTTGCTTTGTGCATCTGACGACGTCTGTATATGCATACGTGAGAAGGCAAACACCAAGGCCTCCTAATGAAGGCCCTGACGCCACACACACCCTAAACCCTAAACCCTAAACCCTAAACCCTAAACCCTAAACCCTAAACCCTAAACCCTAAACCCTAAACCCTAAACCCTAAACCCTAAACCCTAAACCCTAAACCCTAAACCCTAAACCCTAAACCCTAAACCCTAAACCGCAGCAAGCCAAGCAGCGGTGCTGACGCCTGGGATACACGCTGCTGGCCCGGTCATGAGCTGCGCAAGGGCCCTCGCTCCACTCAGAATCCTTGGTGTAGGGTTTCAGAAGAAGCAAAAAAACCTGAGATTCCTCAGCCTAGAGGCCCCCAGCCCTCTCATCAGCCCCAAAATCAGCCCTACAAGCCTCCGAAGGCCGAAGGCCCACCCCCCACCCCCCCCCCCCCCCCCCCCCCCCCCCCCTTCGCCTTTCCCTCTTCCCCTAAAAACCGAGATCTGAGCTTCGACTCCGTGATCTTCTCCTTGATCCAGCCGGTGCCCAAGCTTGCGGTGAAGGCCTTGGGCAGCGCGAAGCCTCAGGGAACTCCCAAAAAAGGGGCTTTCACAGCAAAGAACCCCTTCGGAGCACGGCACCCCCCGTATAGGCAAACTGTTGATATCAAACTAAGGTGCAAGGATTCGTCTGTTCTCGTTATGATATGCCTTTCTATACAGCCCCCCGCCCCCCCGCCCACTTGAAACCATGACTCTGGCAAATTGCCACCACAACCCCCGCCTTGGACGTCAACATCTGCATACATGTTGAGGGCCGCTGCTCCGCACATCTCGAGGTGGTTCGCTCGGCTTGCGTTTGAAGCAAAGCTGGTCCTAGGGATGAAAGAGGACAGGGGAGTCACCTGGAGGATTTCCCAAAGCACGATAAGTTCAAATTCACAATAAGTTCAGATCAAGGGAGCCCTATTTTGATTAATGCTTGGAAATAAGACAGCAGGTCAACAACCCCCGGGCGCCAGAGAAAAAAGAGCTCGCGATACAGAACGACCAAGAAGACCCACCAAGCCCAGCCACTTAAAGCCTCAGGCACCATAAAGCCCCCTAAACCTGAACCCCCCTAACCCCTGAAACCCTAAACCCTAATCCTAAACCCTAAAACCCTAAAACCCTAAACCCTAAACCCCAAACCCTAAACCCTAAACCCTAACCCTGAACCCGACGGTCTGACTTTGAGGTTTGCGGGGAGGTTGGTCCTGGTCACCTGTGTCTTGGTCTCCGCCAGAACCAGTCCAGAGGAGAACCGCAGGGTCCCCTGGGCCCGGACCTGGCGCCGGAGAACTTTTTGCTTCTTTCTTCTTTTTTTGGGGGGGGGGCTCTTCGGGAGCGGCTCCGCTCACCTGCCCCCAAAAGAAAAGCCCCAAACACCCTAAACACCTCCAAAAAAAGCCAGGTTGCTGCTGCACTCACTTAAGGTCAACCGGAGGGAGCGGACATTATTATGGTACGGTTGCAGGGGTGCAGGCTACGTAGAAGATCCTTTTCTGCCCCCAGACAACAATCGCTGCGTACATCCTCGTGCGCCTATTTCCCCGTGCGCACCTCAGCGTTGAACATCGGGTTGACGACGACGGGCACGCCGGGCATTGGCCAAACCTGGATGCTTTGCAGGGAAAGAAGGAGCCCTAAACCCTAAACCCTAAACCCTAAACCCTAAACCCTAAACCCTAAACCCTAAACCCTAAACCCTAATTCCTACAATGGCCTGTTTTTTTTCGTTTTGGAGTTCTGTTCCTTGGGCGGGACTTTGGGAAGCGGCAGTGAAGGGGACTGTTGGGGTGAGAGCCAAAGAGTGGATCTCCGCCGGATTTTCGTAGGAGCTAGCTCGAAAAGCCCTAAGCCCTACAGTAAACCGTAAGCCCTACAAGGGGGTTTACGAACATGGGGGTACCCTTTTTGGTGAGTTCCTTTTATAAGGAGGGTACTATTTGGGGGTAGACTAGGGGTACCCCTATTTGGGGCAATGCCCCGCAAAGGAAAAACTGCTTTCAGAGCTTCAAGGGTTCTGCCGAGGAGCCGTGAGCACCGGGCCCATACCGACGCGAGCGCTGCCGTAGGCAGATGCTGCCAAGCCGAAACCTTCCTGTCACTTATGAGCTGCTCAATGTAGGAAAAGGGAAGGGGTTGGGTGGGGTTGGGCGGGTTTTGGGTTTAGAGTTCAGGGATTTTGGGGTTCAGGGTTTTGCGGGTTCAGGGTTTTTAGGGTTTAGGGTTTAGGGTGCTCATAGGGGGGATGTTGCATAATGTGATGTACCTACAGAATCCCTGAAAGGGCTTCACGGGCCCGAACTCCTACCGCGAACTTGGCGCCATGTCAGGGGATCGGGGAAAAGCAAAGAAAGTCATGATGCTAACTAACATCCGGTTCCTTCATGCCCCGCTGCTCTTTTAGGGTCTGCACGTGCCGTAAGCCCGTAGCCCCCGCCCCCCCCAAACCCCCCCACCCCCCAAACCCCCTAAACCCTAAACCCTGAGAAACCTTTAATTTTAATCCTAAACCCCCTAAACCCCCTAAACCCCCTAAACCCCCTAAACCCCCTAAACCCCCAAACCGGCCTGGTGCTTGATGGATGGCGTCTGGAAGTCGACGTCGGAGTGGCCCTTGGTGTTCACCAGCACGGACCCGGAGATTTGGAAGTCCATGCTGGCCCCCACCTCCCAAGACAACACAGCTACGCTGCTTTGTGTATTTATCTCTTTCTCTGTATTATCCCTTTCTCTTGTCTCTGATGGCTTTTCGGAAGGGAGAGGGTCGGAGGGGGCCTGGCTGTTTTGGTGAGGAGCCTTGTGACGCTTGGGGATCTTCGGCTCATCCTGTTTGCTCTTCGCTGTGCCCTTCGGTCCTGGGCAGCGCCGGTGACGATGCCAGTCAGCTCCACTTCTGCCAGCATCTGCAGCACCACCTTTGTTGGTCAAAACATCCCAATGCCCCATCATGACACGAGAATCCTACCCCCTACCCTGAAGAAGGGAAGGACCAGGAAGCACGCATAAACACCCGGGCCCCGCCCTCTAAAGGGCAGCGGAGGAGCCATGATGCAGAAGGGTGGGGCGCAGGCCATCTTGGTGATGGGCTTCTTTGGAAACCTCGGGAGCTCTCAAAGCCTAAGACAAAAGCGGAAGCTGCGGCGAAGAACGGAAAAGAGAATCGGCGACTCGCAGGTGTGCTGCGCGCCACAGAAGGTGCTCAAAAAGCGTCCGCAATGCCACAATTATGGGGGCTTACATGTAGAAGCCCCTAATAGCAGGATCCCCTTCCAATAAGGACCCCAATAAGGTACCCCTAATTTCGGAAACCCCCCATGTCTTTGAAGCCAAACCCAAAACCCTCCCGCAGCCTCCGAAGGTAAGGCGGGCCACCTCCACCTTCCGAAGCCTAGCCCGGGCAATGTACACACCAGAGCCACCTCTCACTCAGGAAGGCAAGTGCCGGGCCACGTAGCCCCTTCAGCACCCCTTCCTTGCTCAACCCCCCTGTCTAAGACCCCCTCCAAACCCCCGAACTTTCCAAAAAAAACGCCCTGAATGCCCAATCCCCTCACCTCCCCAAACCCCTCAACCCTAAACCCTAAGCTCTCCCAAACCCTGTGTATACACATATATGTATGTATATATATATATATATGTATATATAACTAGTACAATCTATTGAACTATAAAAAGAACCTTTGAATTGAGAGGTCCCAGGAGCCGCCTTTCCGCGACCATGGCGCAGCTGCCCTCGGCGGAGACCAGGGCGTCGAAGGAGGCGCGGACAAGGCCCTCGATGCCCACCTTCAAACCATGTAGCCATGTAGTAAGAGCGAAACTTTGTAGCACATGAATATCTCTGAAAAAACGAGCATACATGACTTGATCTTGTTCTGTCTGATGGGTTGGGATTGTCTTCTACTTGAAGAGTTTCGGGTTCTCTTTCGGGCTTGTACATGTGTTCTACGGTGCTCTGGGCCCGTAAACCTCCCGAAGTGCCGAAGTCCATCTCGGTTTTGCTCTTTCCGCCTCGGTGTCGCCGTTAGCGTTCAGTCTGATGCTCACCGCTGGCGCGAACTGGACGACACCCTCCTCGGGCATCAGAATCTCAAGGGTGCATTTTGGGTCGGTGGTACAAGCGAAAGCTCTAGTAGCATGCGATGCCCCCTCTCCGAGCCTTGTCTGGAAACCCTTCAGTCCAGAAACCCTACAAGTTGCAAAACAGGCATTGTCTGTAGACATCCCGCAACTAAACCCCCAAAAACCTCGACACCCTCGATTCAAATTCCAAGCCTACCACTGCTCCCTGCGGGAAGAGCAGCCAGCGCCAGCTCCAAGCCAGACTCGCAGGACCCCGAGGGCGCCCGAGACTTGGAGCTCTTCAGCGCCTTCCGCGACCTCCACAAGGGCTTCCGGGCCAGCCCAGCTGAGGCTCAGTTGAGGGTCCTGCTCTTTCAAAGGGCCAGGCTTCAAAAAAAGAAAGGCCTGTGACAAAGGCGCCCCATGAAAGAAAGGGGGGAAGTTCTCAGGGGTTCGGGGAGCGGCTTGGCTTCTGCGGGACCTCAGCTCCGTGCCAGCTGGCTTGGGCCCCTGGGAGAAGAGCGTCCCGGGCAGCCGGCCTCCTTTGTCGGATGATGGGCCGAAGCAGCTTAGGACTTAAACGGCGTTGAGGGTTCTAGGGTTCAAGGGCAAGAGTGACCGAACCGAATAAGGAAATATTGGCTTAAGAAAATGTGGTGCTCGGCCGAGAGCTGACGCCCACAAGTGCGGGAAACATGTGCTGCACTTGAGAACACCAGTCGCGCCCTCGGATTTGGGGGGGAACCATCTGGCCCGGGCCTTTTCGGGAAAGTTAAGCTTCGAGGTTCAGGTTTGAAAGCCTTTTGGGGCAGGCCTGGGAGGGTTGGGGCGCGGCTTCCGGAGCCATTTTCAGGCTTGAAAGGAAAATGAGAAAATGAGGGACTCCTTTTCTTAATTTCAAGATAATGAAGGGCTCGTTTGTTTACATTTAAGAACATGAGAGGCTCGATTTTTGTACATTTTGGACATGAGGGGCTCCTTTTCATAATTTTATCAAAATGAGCCCCTCATTGTCTTCATTTACATTTGGGCCTGAAAATTCGGAAATGGAAGGGTTGGGGGAGGGTTTTTGAATGTTGGGAGGACCTGGGCAGGGTTTTCGGAGCCATCTTTTCAGGTCAACAAGGAAACTAGGGAAATGAGGGGTTCATTTTCTTAGTCTCGGCTGGAAACGGGCCCTGCAATAGAGAAGTTTGGAGATAAGAAAATTGCTAAAAAGAAAATTTAGGGTAATGTCAGGGTGTGAGGCTTTCTGTCTGCTCCTCTACTTAAAAAAATCCAGGGTACCCTCACCTGAAATGATCGCTTTCTTGTCCCGCGCTGTCGCTGTATCTCAGGACTCAGGCTGGAGGGTGCTACCACCTCTCTCGAACCATGCATACATCATAAACTGTGACGAAGAATAACAAGTATAAGAATCACAAAACCTTGGTCAACCTCTCTAAATGCCAGCCCCAGCTTCTGCCGCTACTGCTGCTGTCTCCCATGTCGAAGCCGCCGCCAGCTGAGATCCCAAAGCCGTTGGAAAACTCGGCGCCCGTCCGGAACACGCACTTCCTTAGATTCTTAGACTCTCCCAGGGCAAGGAATACAATGAAGACAGAGGCCGGCCTCTGCTTTTGCTTTCACAATGGGCTTTTGTGAAGGGACTTGAAGCTCTACAACAAGGGGGGGTGGGATAAGTGGCCCCACGCTCTGGGACCAAGCTTCAATGAGAGTTCCGACGAGGAGACGCTGACGTCGCTTCCCGCGTCGCAGTCGCAAGCATCGCCGATCAGCATCCTGCACCTCTGGCTGCAGCTGCTATGGAGACAATATGGGGGGAGAGCTTCCGAAATTCTTGGGGTGCCTTCCTTATTGGGGTCCCTTATTATAAGGGAATCCTGCTATTTTGGGGGGTCTAAAGTAAAGGGTCCCTTTTTTTTTTTTTTTCGGAAACCCTGATATCGGTGAAAGTGGGAGGGAGAGCCGATATTGCTACTGTTCTTGTCTTTCTCATGATCTTTGTAGTGTATGCTCCTACTGTCATTACGATGCCTACTCCCCTAATTTATCCTTCATGAGTATCCTGATTCTCGTTACTACTTTCTCAGTACCCTGACACGGTTCTCATGATCGTTGTTGCGAGGACTGGGGGTGCCTCCGCGAGGGCTCCTAAAGGAAATCTTGCAGGGCAGGGCGCAAAGTGAAGGACTCGGCGAAGCAGCTGATGAACTTCTTCATCTCCTCCCACGCGGCTTTCGCAAGGCCAGCGGCTAAAGGGCCCACTTTGGCAATCTCACCACCTGAAGGACAAGCAGCCCGCTGAGGGTGCTTTTTGTTGTTTGTTCTTTTTGGGGGGTTTGAGGGACTCCGGGGCAACCAAAACAGCCGCACAAGTGGTGCCAAAACCCATAAACGCCCAAAGCCCACATCCGGAAATCTGGCGAAAAGGCACGAAATACGCCCCGTTTGAGCCGTGCCGCCAAGAGCCGAAGCCTTGCTGGCAATCTCGTTGCCCACTGTGCTGGCCAGGCTCGCGCCCTGCAAAGTCTGCAGCGGGGGAGGGGGGGAGAAAACTGCCATGTAGCATGAAAGACCTAAACCCTCAGCCCTGATCCCTATCAACAAAGAAAAGCCCTAAACCCGAAAAAACCCTCATGCCTACACAACACCCTAAACCCTACACCCTAAACCCTAAAACCTGAACCCTAAACCCTAAACCCTAAACCCTACACCCAGTCTTGGAGCTTCCCATGGCCTGAGCTATCGAGTGCTTGGCCGCCTCCAGCGCATCTCCGGCCAGATCTACCGTGGCATCGGCAACTACTTCCTTTGCTCAGCAGGGCATGCTTTTCGGGTTTAGGGTTGAGGGTTTGGGGTTTAGGGTTTAGGGGTTAGGGTTTGGGGATTCAGAGCTCGACAAATGGGTGGGCCGGAGGGGGCTTCTCCAAATCATGGTCCTTCTGTGAGTATGCTACATATTTTGAAGAACATATATGAATACAAATTCAAGTATAAATACAAATATAAGAATATGTGTATGTATATGTATATGTGTATATATATAATACATATACATATATATATATATATAGAAATATATATATATATGTATATATAAACGGCCGCGTATGATCATGGGATCGCCGGAAAGGATCATGGCTTAGAGGACAGTACAAAGGGCATCGCTGGCATTCTTGTAGCTAACCCTGATCGCATGGATCGACGCGAGGCTGATCCAGCTGTGAATTTCGGTGGGCGGGGCCTGTGCTTGAAATCATCCACGGAGGCCCGTGAAACGGAGGCTGTAAAGGAGAGCGATGCGCTTGATGAACTCGAGACAAGACAAAGCCTAAACCCTAAACCCTAAACCCTAAACCCTAAACCCTAAAGCTGAAAAAACTACTCGTCTCCGAGATGTGTCGCCTACATCTGCCACGGCCTTCCCAGCCGACATGGCGACGTCTCCCAGGGTGGCGGCCGCATCCTCTGGCAGCCCACTGACAACTGAACCTCAAATCCCTCAAAGCATGTATGTATGTACTGTATGTATACATATATATATATATATATTATATTATATTATATTATAATATATATACATACATAATCACTGGGTTGTATGTGAGGTTTCGGAGATGCGGGGGTGTGGCGGTCCTTGATCTCGCTTGGGAGTGCGCCGACGGTCGTTTCTGCAGCCTCGACGATGGAGTTGCCGACGACGACGGCGGCATTTCCGACGTAGTCCCCCACAGTCAGCCCCACATCTGCGATGCCTCTGGGCCAGCATCCGGGGATCGCAGGAACCGCTTGTTATGCCAAGTGGCGCGAAGCAGACTTTCGTGGGTCGAGCATAGACATAGACCTTTTAGAGCAATTTTTCAAGCTCGGGGGCCTGATCCAACATCCTCCGGGATGTCGCCGATCGTCTCCAATCCTCCGCTGCTTCATGGCTGCGGTCCAGGGTCTATCGTTGAGGGCTGCGAATCGTTGTTGGGTTCAAGCTTTTTTTAGGGCTCTGTGAGCCTACGCCAGCAACCCTGAAGAGGTTCTGCCCAGGAGCCGTCTGAGATTGGGTCCAGCCATTTCGAGGACACTGCGCTGTCCAGGTCCTCCGTAGGGCGAGCGCCATGAGAATGCTTATGAAGACTTACTCAGATGAAAGCTCTGATCCCCATCTTCCTCTTTCCTTGCGATTAGTATAAGCTTGTTACTTCCCATATATGGCTGCTACTTGCTGGAACCCAGAGGGCTTTCTTTAATGGAGGCTGCGAAGCTGGCTTGGGTGCTGTGGATCTGATCTGAATATCGTGAGGCTTCTGCTGGGGTGGTTGCAGTACAAGCTCCATTCGCTTCGGCTGCTCATGTCACAGGGGGACGGTGGATGGAGTCACGAAGCCGGAGATCAGATCACATTGATCTGCTGAGCGGTTGTCGGCTCATCCTTATGTCGACAGGCCCAGAGTCGTGGCCGCAGCCGGCAGCACAGAAGCGCAGCTCAGCGCTTGAACTCAACAAGGCCAATATGGGCCAGTGGCATCTCAGAGCTTATGCGGCCTGTATAGAACGCGAGTGCAAAGGTAGGTTGCCGGTATGGCCGTACCGGACTTAAACAAAAGCAACAGTGCGTCATTCGGATCTTTGCTGGGCCACAGTGCAAGGCTGATGAGGCAACTGGGGGCTGATGCCTCGGCCCTAATCTTCAGTCGCCTTGCGGACCAGGGGGGGCATGACCCGAGCGGGTATCCGGGCATGACTTGTTGCACGATTGGTTGCGGCTGTGTGCTTGTGCATGCAAAAACAGGGGTGATACTGTGGTTCGAAGCTTGTGCATGATGCAAAGCCACACAAACAGATCGAGGGCGCACATGCTACAGTCGGGGCGTCGGGTTAATTACACATACTTGAGATGTTGCAACAAATACAGGTGACGAGCTGTTCTGGGTGGGGATGCATCTGATGTTATTCCACGCAGTAAAGGATACGATCTATTGCCGTCATGTGACTGCGCACATTTTGATGCTACGTGAGCAATCGGAAGATACTTACGGTCATGGGACGTCGTGTGCTGCAATGTCATGTGATGCAAAGAGGGGAGGGGGGATGCATCACGCTTGTGACTGCGAGCTCGTTTGGTTGCGCAGAAACTGCTGAGGACCAGGAGTCACGCATACGTTGCGATGCCACACAAGCAGGGAGAAGGATTTGTACTGGGGTATAGGTACAAGTCGCAGACTTAGGACTTACAATTCTAAGAACCGGAGTTTCAACAGCTCCAGTTCCAAGAAGGCTCAACTGAAGGGCTGGATCCGCATTTTTGGTGAGAAGGGAACGCGGGGGAGTACATGCTTTAGCATGTTTGGGTCCTAAAAACCTCAAAACGCGGACTCCCCCGCATCCTGGGTGTGTGGTTCCTAGGGGCCGAGGGAAACCGAGGCCGGAACGTGGGGGAGTACACGTTTTAGCATGTTTGGGCCCCAAAAACCTCCCAACGAAAACTCAGGCACCAACAACGCAAACCTTTAGAGAATCGCAAAAAAACAAAACCTTTAGAGAATCGCAGAAAAAAAACACCTAAACCCTAAACCCGAAACCCAAACCCGAAAACCTTCGGCAGGTCCTTGTGGAAACTGGCCGAACGCGCGCGGTCCAGCTTGGCGCGGGCCAGCAGTGAGGCCCGAGCCAGGGACTCGCAAGGAAGGTTTGCAGGGGGGGGGGGGGGGTGTAATCCCCTTCCCCTTATATTCAACCCCCGCCCCCCACCGTAGCCCCTAATATTAATTACTCCCATTACGGCAATATTAGGGGTTTACGTAGGGTTTAGAGGCTTTGCAGGGTCTGTAGGCTCCTGGGTCTATGCGGTTGAAGGGGGCCTTCAGGCAAACAAGGTTTGATTCCATGCTTTGCCCTGAAGAAAGCCCAAACCTCATAAGGTGAAGTTTGAGTTTTTGGCGCCTCCTGGAGCTTGAGCTAAGGGCTTTTTTAGGGGCTTTGGGCTTAGAGCTTAATGATTTAGGGCTTAGGGTTTATGCACATTTCCTAAACCCTAAACCCTATTTAAGGCTTTTAGGGCTTCTCCGGGGGTCCCTATGACATATGACCACTCCCCGCAGGCCTGTGCACGGTCGGCCGGGAACCTTCAAAGCAAAAGCTTGGTTTGCAACCCCCCCCTCCAAACCCATCGAAGCCCCAGAAATTATCCCTAAGACTTTCTGAGTCCCAATCCCTAAACCCTAAACCTAAGCCTAAACCCTAAACCCTAAACCCTGAAAGAGGACCCCTAGATGCCCTCTAGGATGCCCAGGTTGGAGGGGACGGGAGGGGGGGCTAGGGGAGGTTCGCTGAGGTTCCGGGGCTCCAGGGGGGGAGGACCGGAAGTGGCAGTTTTCAGTCCAGAGCCTAAGGATACAAGCCCTAAGAAGCTTCGGGCGGGGAGTCTATAGGGTGTATCCGGACAACCGAGACACTGCTGCGGGCGAGGATGCCGTCTCGACAGCTGGGACGACTTCTGGAGCCACAGAGTCCCGTCGGAGCATGGCTTGACCCTCTCGCCGACGCTGCCATTTTCGTCCTGGAGGTCGTTTAAGGTGCAGAACTTGTTGGCCGAACCCACGGAAACCCTACAACCCGGAAGGCACCGCCAAGCTAAGGCTTTTGTGTCAAGATCAACCCAGAGATTCATGGCCCAGCCAGGAACCATCAACGCAGCGCTTGGAACTCAACTAAGTTCCCAAGCACTCCGCGGCCACACCCAGACACAGCCCCAAAAAAACACCGGACATCACCGAACCTCCCCCCAAACAGTTCTTCCAAGCAGCAGAGGCTGCGCAAGAGCCATTGCTGTCACTTCCCAGCGTGCAGACGACAAGACAGGTCAGCAAGATGCGGCTGAAGCTACAAGACCTCATCTATATGGCAAACATCCAAAAGGGGTGTGTAAATATACAGATGTGTATGTTTGTATGTTTGTATGTATGTATGGATGTATGGATGTATGGATGTATGGATGTATGGATGTATGGATGTATGGATGTATGCATGTATGGACATGCATACATATATATGTATATATATGTATATATATGTATATATATGTATATATATGTATATATATGTATATATATGTATATATATGTATATATATGTATATATATGTATATATATGTATATATATGTATATATATGTATATATATGTATATATATGTATATATATGTATATGAGCTCGCCGCCTTTAGGGTCTATTTAGCTTTGGGTTTTTCTTATTGCTTTAAAAGAGCGAATATAAACATCGTAATACAAAAATACATATTTACACCTACATATGGCACGCAAATCTCATGCCCAGCGGTTCTAGGCCTAGCCGCACGCCATTACGAACTGCGAATTTCTGGTTATTATTATTTTCATTTGTTTCTCTTTGCTGTCTGTGTATGCGTGTTCTTTTTTCAGCCTGCGTGAAAAAGTCGCTGTTTGGCTGCGGCAGAAGGGAAAGAGAAGTGAGAGAGGAGAGACAACAAGGATGCCATTCTAATTTTCTGGAAGGGCATTGAAAAGAAGAGAAAAGACAAGAAACAAGGAGAC